CAGTCCCAGTTCGGCTGACTTGGGCGAAACCCTTTGCTCATTGAACTTTGCAAGCCGTGTAAGAGGAGTTGAGCATGGTCCTGCACGTAAATTAGCTGATCTTACTGAAATCTCCAAGAACAAACAATTGGTACGCAGCATTTGACACTTAAAGGGCAGGCATCTTTAGTGCTTTGGGCTTATGACTGATGCTCTGCTTATGTGCTTGAACAGGCAGAAAAAAGCAAACATGATGAGAGAGAAATGAAGAAATTGCAAGACAGCGTGCAGTCTCTGCAATTGCGGCTTTCTGCCAGAGAACATACATGCAAGAATCTTCAGCAGAAGGTTTATAAGGGCTTGCTATTTCCTTTCTGTTCAATATTCAGTTTTGATTCAGATGATTTAGATATTAATCACAATGCCAACAGGTTCTTCATCTTGAGAAGAAACTAGTGGAAGAAAAAAAGAAACAGCTAAAGCTAAAGCAGGAAAATAGGGTTTCGGCTGCAGTTTCTAACCAGTCTTCTTCAGCCTTACCATCTCTCAACCAGACTAGGATGATGGCGGCGAGAACAGAGAGGAAACCACCACTGGCTCTGAGACCAAGACTCCCACTTCAAAAAATCACCCACTTAGTGCCCCAACAGCCATCCTCTGTCCTTCATCCAAGACGAAGCTTGCTCCTTCCAACTGTCTATGAGGACAAAGAAAATGCCATAATGGCTAGCAAAGACAACACAGACGTAAAAGCAAGGCAGGATACCCATGCTATCAAATCCATCCCAACTCAAGCTACAAATCTGCAGGTTAAACAACCAACACGAAGAGCTTCTATGGCAACCTTGCGGCCTCCAGAATCAGGTATGATAGTTCCTGCTAAGAACTCCGCTGTTCGTCCCAGGAATGATGGTCCTTCAATGGGTCGGCAATCTTTTGTCTGGGACCCGCAAAGAGTGTGGCGTACATCAAAGGTGCTCTCACCAAAACTGGAAGATGAGAAATCAAGTGCGGCTTCCGTATTGCATGAAGCCCCGCCAGTCGTATCAAGATGCAGCAAGCCCTTAGGGAGTCCCAGGCTTCCAACAGTTGTTGCATTACAAAAGAAGCGATTGGTGTGGAGTCCTTTGAAGATGAAAGCATACGCTGGTCTAAAATCCAGGCGGGTTTCCCATGCTATTAAACCCACACTACCTCAAGCCATAAACCTACAGGTTAAAAAACAGCCAATGCGAAGAGCTTCTTTGGCAACCTTGCTCCCCCAAGAGTCTGACAGCACCGTTAGTCCTGGTAAGAGCTCCGTAGTTCGCTCAAGGAATAATCATCGTTCAATGGGTAGACAATCTTATGTGTGGGACCCGCAAAGAGTGTGGTGCAAATCAAGGGTGCTCTCGCCACCACAGGAGGAGGAGACAACATTAACTGCTGCATTAGTGGAAGCCACGCCAGTGGGTCCAAAGTGCAGCAATTCCATGGGGAGTCCACCTTCACAACAACCAGGTTCGTGGAGGCCCAAGCATCCAACAGTCGTTGCTTTACAGAAGAAGCTATTGTGGAGTGATCCGAAGATGAAAGAAAACACTGGTTCCAAAGCCAGAAGGGTTTCCTTTGCTATTAGACTCACCCCACCTCAAGCTAAAAATAGGCGGGTTAAACAACCATTGCGAAGAGCTTCTTTGGCAACCTTGCACCCCACAGAATCATGCATGATAACTCCGGCTAAGAGTTCTATAGTGCACCATGAGAATGATTATCGTTCAAGGGGTCGGCAATCTTTTGTCTGGGACCCACAAAGAATGCGTCGCACATCAAGGTTGTTCTCACCACTAGTGGAAGAGGAGAAACCAATTGCTGCTGCTGCCACATTGGTGGTGGACACACCAGTCAGTTCAAGTTGCAGCAAAGTCATGGAGAGTCCTTGTTCACAACAAGCAGCAGGTTCATGGTGGAGGCCCAAGCTTCCAACAGTTATTGAATTACCCAAGAAGCAATTGGTGTGGAGTCCTTTGAAGATGAAAGTCATGCAAAGTAGTAACAGGAATTCATTTCTTGCCTCATAAACATTGGCCATCTTTGTCTGTGAACTGTTCATAAAATTTAACTCGTCATTATTGGTATTCCAGATTGTGATATAGGATGCCAAATTTTGGCCTTCAATAGACTATGGGGGTATTTGGTTAATGGCCTATCAGTCATTTGCCAAACACCCCCTATTTGTATGTGACTGTGTGTGGGGATTACTTTGTTAGACACATACTTTACATAGTTCTTTGTGTCTTTACAATTCTGAGATTCTGTTTGGGAACTAAAACTACACCTGAAGAAGCTAGACAGCAAATTGGCCGGGGATGAATTTGTAGGGTGTGTTTCGGAAAATAAAGAAAATTAATTAAAATAAATTAATTAAATAAAATGACAAGAGAAAAACAAGAAAGGAGATGAAGCATAATTAGTCAAAGCTCGTGCTATGCATGATGTCCTTAAAACGTATTTGTTGCCTCCCACGGTGCTAGGAGCGTTGCAACAATCGTTTCTCAGGATACGATGACTACGAACTAATGTTTGAGCACACAAACAAAAGTTCCAGCGAACGAGAACAAGTTTGAACACTCAGGAATTTTTCAGAGAGACTGGAGGTGTTTTTAGCTGAAGAAATACGTGAGCTCGTGTATGAACGTATAAGATCGTGTGTTGTTGCAAACCACCTGCCATCCATTATATAGGAGGATTTGTTGTGTGCAAAATGATGAATTAATGGACCTGAACGTTGGACATCAATGACCAGTCCGTTGAGCATTGAATCGTCCATGAACTGTCCATTTAACGCTGCATTAAAAGATAAGAACGTTGGGCATTTATTGTTGTAACGGTTCAGATGCGCGACAGAAGACCTCCACCAGAACACCCCAGAAGGGGTTCTGTTCCGAGGCCAACAGAAGACCCCAAGAGGGGTTCTGTTCCGAGGCCAATAGAAGACCCCGAGAGGGGTTCTGTTCCGAGGCCAACAGAAGACCCCGAGAGGGGTTCTGTTCCGAGGCCAACAGAAGACCCCAAGAGGGGTTCTGTCATGAGGCCACCAGAATACCAACGAGGTGTTCTGTTCCGTAGGCTTCTGTTCGAGCACTTCTGCCGCCGGAAAAAAATTAAACGTTTCGGGAAGAAAGCAAAAATTAATCGTATCTCTTGAGAGAGAGATTTTTGGACGACATTCGTGTCCGCAGGTCGCGGTTTTTCTTCTCCGATTTCGAGAGTTGATTCACACCTGACTTGTAAAATATACATAGAGCATTTATTAGACCAGACTAGATTTGAACAAACCAAACCAATTTAGAAAGTTGGTTCAATTAAAACTAACCTTAGAGTCAATGTAACTAGTTTGAGCCATTTCAACCTTGTTAAGTGTTGAATGGGCAAACCAAAATGGGTCCCAGAGAGATGCTACAAGGAATCTAACTTCATGTATAGGCATGTTGAATACCAATGCCTTATGTTATTTAGTAATTTATTCAGCAATCGTATGTGATGTTAAGAGTATATTCTGTGCAAAAATGTGAATGCCACAAAGGTAATGAGAGAAATATAAAAATAATATGTAGTAAATAATACAATTTTCTTCTCATTTCAATAGTTCAGCACAATGTTAAGCACAACGTGTATATATACATTGTGGTTGATGATGTTGAAAAAAAATACTTCGTAAATAAAAGTATAGAAACCCATGGAAAGAAAGAGAAATTTCATTGATTCAGGAGAGATGCCTAAGAGATAGTTTACTAACTACAAAAGTTATTTCTTTTTGTATAGGAAAATTGAAAATCAGAAAACATCAAACATGTTTACTTCACGTGCTTCCTACTTAGAAAAATAAAAAATGGTTGTTTCATTAGTTTTTCAAATTAAGAACAAAATAGAAAATTGTAATCCGATTTTTAAGAAAGCTCGAAAACACAGTTCTCATTTTCAAAAGGGAAAACAACAGTTTCACATATAACCAATCATCAATGACTATGATTTTCATCTTTGCCATTATTGGCCATGAAAACCATTCTCATCATAAGTCATAAAGTAATCACCACCATTGCGAATAATCATCCTCCACCAACCAACGGCTAATCAGAAAATAATACTCCCTCTATCGCAATTTTAAACGCTTCGTTTGATTTTCACGTAATTTAAGAAAATGACACTGTTTGGATATTGTTTGACACCGTTTTGCACGGTTTGTCAACCCGATGCCAATGCATTTTTAAGAAAGTGGGCATTTTTAACCCGATGTGAACCCGGTTTGACACGGTTCACGTAATTTTCACGTAATTTTGTTTATCAAATAAAGAAAGTGGACATTTTTAAGGGACAACCCGAAAAGGAAAGGAGTAGTTTATTTTGGAACGGAGGGAGTAAAGCGGAAAGAGTTCGTAGGGGAGGGGTGACTTTAACTTCTCTGCTGCTAGTGAGGAGTCCGCCCAAAAATTGGAGGACATTATGTGATATTGCAAGTCTAGAAGGATTGTGGTGGGCGGATCTTGTCTTGGGGGTTCAAAATTCCTTTACCATTAAAATGTTGTAACGTAATACGAGTATTATATTGTTTGATTCAACAATTGAAGATATATATTTTTTGTAACAAAAAATTAACAAAAAGGGTAAAATGTAAAAAATTAGTATTACATAAAGAATACAAGATATAAATTGATATCAATTCTATACATGTATTTTTGCATTTTTTTTTAATTTTGGGTGGTTCCCATGAACACTTTAGAACAAAGACCATCCTCCACAGGTTCAATGTCACAACAACAATAGTTAATACACTTCAATTTATTTCCAACTATGTTGAATGGTAACGTGAAAATCATGAGGAAACTGAAAACGTGAAAAACAAATGTTTGGAAAGTCATCAAAATGTTCGTGGAGTTTCCAAAATGAAAACATACTCTTTTCAGAGGATGTCTGTGCTACCAAGCTAGATTTCTAAAGCTCAGTTCCCAATTTTATTATTATGAGTAAAGAATAGTTCTACGCTGCTTTGACACATTGAAACACAAACACAACATTCTCCATCTTACAAAAAAGAAATCAGTAATACACAAAGAATTAGTATTTCATTGTCCTTGAGTGAGGACTTCCCTCTATTCAACACATGAAAGGTGCCATGGAACACAAATTTGTACAAATCGAATTGAAGTATAGACATAGGAAAAACAATATGCAAATAAAAGGTGCCCACCCACAATTCACAATCTCCGAGCCGGGAATTGCATTTGCGATGCAGCAGCACTACATGATCGGTGTTGTTTCAATCCGCTCATCATCATCTTCATAGCATCAGTGTCCTCCTGTACAGATTTCCGGCTACTCCTCAATGGAGAAACAAGTTTGTTTGCCAGCCTTGAAGGTGAAAATGATCTTCTCATCTTTGAGGGTGATGATGATACTAGCAGCAGCCTGTTTGCCAACCTTGAAGGTGAAAATGATAATCTTTTCAGCTTACCAGCTGTAGTAATCTGTGGAGACTTCTTAGCAGCTACAGCTCTTCTTGTAGGAGGAGATATAGACAATGGAGGACTCCTAATTTTGACCTGAAATCTGCTAAAAAGCGGCTGAGGGGGAGACTTGATCAAGAATTTGTGTGGTGGTGTCTTTAGCTGAGTTTTTCTGCTGAGCTTTTGTTGTGAAGTTGGGGGGGATGTATGGAACAAAGGGTTGGGGAAAAGAACAGTCTTTCTAGCCCATGGCCTATTCTTCCTAGGAGACACCCTTTTGGCTATGTACTTGCAGAAATGTTCTTTTTCACATTCTTCTTTCTTGTGCAGAGGAGGAGAACGCTTGAAGTTTATACGCGATCTGGCACGCCTAATGGAGGGAACACCTGCGGGGACAAATTTAGTATGTTCCTCTTTCTCCCTTTTCCTTCGGGCAATAAGCTCGAAGTTTTCGGGGATCGGATTCTTGCTTCGCCTAATCGTGAGTGGAGGAGTTTTGGGGTTGTCATCAGAGGCAGCTGCTTCCACTACTTTTCTTGCAAACTGACTTGCTTGTAGAATTTCATTCACTGTCTCTCCTAGAAGCATTGCGGGTAATGACATTCTCTTCCACTCTGCTGCATAAGTAATAAATAAATAAAAACAATCATGATCCCCTTCATTTTTCAGATGTGAAGAAGGGAATGCATAAATCCTTTTTCGCATTTTGGGCTATGTTTGGATCCCGGAAGTGCTAAGAGAATGGAAAAAATGTGATGGGATACATTCTAATGTTTGGTTTTACCTCGAGAAATGCAAATTTAAAAATGTGATGGGAAAGCAAGTTTTTTGGAGCAAGTTTTTTCTCTCTTTTCCCACCATTTCACTGAATACTTAACTGTATCATGAATTATATGCTTAACCATAGATTATAATACCTGCATTTATAGGCAACTTTCCTTGGGGAGACTTGTTAGAAGTAGCATTCCTGATCCTTGGATTGTGAAGAGAGAGAAAACACCACCAGCTTAAGAGATTTCTCAAAAAATAAAACAGGACAACTGGATGTTCTTATATGTGAAGAACTAAAATCAAGAAACTTGCAGGTACCTGAGAGATTCCTTTTTACACTTATGGCTAGTCCTTGAATAGGCTCTGGTGCTTCTAGGGCTAAGACCCACTCCAGAACTCACCCCCTTACCCCTTCCTTTCACTGTGTACTGCAGCTCTTCCAGACTAGCCATACACTTATCAACCTTCACAAGGAAAAAAATGAGTGGACTAACTAACCATAACCCTTAGGGCAGGGGCTATATGTCAGTGAATGAGGGAAATATTGTTCTATTGACTTTTTTCATAAACTAACTTGGTCATCAATGAATATTATTGCTGTATAACATTCTAATATCATTGAAAGTTTTCCCTGAAAATTACACAGAACATTCTACCCTACCCCATCATTTACTTTAATTAAATATTTAAATAATGAGGAAATTAGCATAGGTAAGACCAACATTTCTTCTCTTTACCAATATATATGACCTTATTAGTAATTCTCCCAAAATAATAATTACGGAGTATTTGGTAATAGTTAAAGAACACATTAAATAAATAAATAAATACCTTATATTCCGTATGAAAGATGGCAAGGCATGTGAATATGTTGTATTTACCATGGAGTATATATATATTCGTATTAAATTGGGTCCTGTTTTTTTTTTTAATCACGGTCTTGGGTAATTTATTTAAAATATAAAAGTTACTTTATTCTCATTACGTAGTTTATGTTTAGTCATATTAATTTCAGTAGTCGTATTTAGCTAATCTGACTAGGAATTGATCCTACTCCTGGGAATATCCCTTAAATAATCTAATAAATTGCATCGAAAAATATGCTAGTTTCTTACAACAAAAAGCAATAGTGAATGGAATTAGCTGTGTTGAGAAGCAAGGGAATGAGAATAAGATTGAAATCAAAGCTCAATTAATTGGGAAAAGTTGGGGCAGAAAGAAGGAGAGAATTACCTTGTTGAGAATTTGACGGAGGAGAATAGGGTTGAGAGGAGCCGCCGCCGTTTGCCGCTGCTGAAGCTTTGGAGGAGTTCTGGCTACCATTTTCTGTTCTCCTTCAAATACAAAACAAAACTGAGATTTGGCAGACTCTCTCTCTCTCTAAGCCGCTCCTGGGAACTGAGTTTGTCTCCGGAGTTGGAAGTCAGAGAGTTGAGCTTCAGGAAGAAAGCGACAACGCGTTTTGACGCGCCTTATGAAGCCCAACGGATACTTATGTTTTGATTGTCAGTATGCTGTAACGGTCGATTCTCTTGGGGTTTTAATGTCAAAAAGGTAAGTTTATAGACTTACCATTTTTATTGTCAGAGTTACTTTGTCATTTTTCTTTAAATGAAAAATTTGTGTTTTCAATTAATTGTCTCTGCTTTCAAGAAACATCGGTTGCGCAATTCAAGTATGAAGAAGTACACCTCAGAGGATAAGCGTGTCAAAAATAGCTATAGACGTAAAAATGACTACCCTGTTAAGTTCATGGATCAATCCTTTTCAAAAAAAAGTTGATGGATCAATCAATTCGTTGAACGCTTCGAATAAGAGAATGTAATACTAGCAAAAGCAAGTTGATATATGTTTCTATGCATATGGTTTTAAAAGGCCTAAACTAACACATGGACATAAACTAAAGGGAGAACTTACATAAAAAGTGCAAATCACCCATTTTATATGAGGCCCTGTCTGGCCGTCGTCATTTGGGGCGGTTTCCGCTGGAATTTTTTTTAGCATTTTCTTCATTAAGTATAGTTTACCCATAACAAATTTCAGCTAAAAATTCATCCGGGAAGGCACTCAAATAATTTTCTGAAATATTCAGAAAAATTCATTTAGTTGCCTTCCCGATTGAATATTTAGCTGAAATTTGGTATGCGTAAACTAGACTTAATGAGTAAGATGCTCAAAAAATTTCATAAAACATTCTACCGGGAACTGCTCCAAATGGCGACAGCCGGACATAGTCTCCTCTAAAAGGGGTGGTTAGCAATTTTTATGTAAGTTCGGGAGCTTATTTGGTAGTTCTCCCTAAACTAAACAATAAAAATAAAATAAAATAAAAATCAAATGTGAGCCATGCGGCGCATTTTGAACTCAACGTTCTAAACATAACATCATTTTAAGGAAATAAATTTACAATTTATTTATGGGAAAAGGGTCAAATAGGCCCTCAAACTTACATAAAAAGGTCAAATAAGCCCTTAGATAGGAGGCTCTGTTTGGCCGTCGCCATTTGGGGCGGTTCCCGGTGGATTTTTTTTTTAAAAAGTTTTTGAGCATCTTATTTATTAAGTCTAGTTTACTCATACCAAATTTCAGCTAACAATTCAATCGGGAAGGCATTCAAATGAATTCCTGAAGATAACTGTGCTTTTAACTACGCAGTTATCTTCAAGAATTCATTTCAGTGCTTTCTCTATTGACGTTTTAGCTGAAATTTGGTATGAGTAAATTAGACTCAATGAATAAGATGCTCAAAAAATTTTATCAAAAAATTCCACCGTGAACTGCCCCAAATGGCGACGGCCAGACAGAGCCTCCTATATAAGGACTTATTTGACCTTTTTATGTAAGTTCAAGGGCTATCTGATCTTTTTCCCTTTATTTATTAATAATGTGACCATGTATAATTATATGACTAAGGACACCATTAATAATAGATGTTGTTATAGTTGATAAACTTGTCGCTATCATTGGTTCACCCCGAACAAAATAATATATTTGATTGAAATGAATTTAGAAATTAGAAATGACTTCATAAAATAATGTTAATGAAAACAAAACTCAATGATATCACTAAACCAAAGAAAAGAGGCACTTCATGTCTTCATGTACACAATATGTCAATATCAGTCGTTAGTCAAAGTTACTTTTCTTATTAATAAATAAATATTATCGCTTAAATATTTGTCTCATACCGAAATGCTATATAATTGAGAAAAATATAACAGTAATTTTTTTTTTTTCAAGTTTCATTATTTATTGTACATATAATTTATGGTAACTTTTTTAGATCTATTTAAACATTAATGGACTCTCAAATTATGTAGCCTAGTTTGAAGTGTGGGTTGTGGTATTTACCCTACATAAAAAAAGTATGCACTCTATTAGTTTTTTTACTTTTTTTTGTAAGAAGTGAATATTACCTACTGAAATTTTATATTCCTTGCACCTACTCACACAATATTGCCTACTACGCAATGACGCAATCGTATTTTACATCTATAATCTTTTGTTCTGGTAAAAATTACTCAAAGGTGCTCTAGAATTGGCAAAAAAAACTAAAGTTTTTAATTGAAAAATAAATAATCCCAGAACAGAACATATATTTAGAATCTAAAAGCAATTATTTAAATTGTTTAAATAATTGTTTAAAAACTAATTTCACTCTACTACATCCACATATGTTGAAATCAAAAATATGCTTCCAGGAGAACAGTGTCACTAGAGACCATTGATGTCAAGCTCTTCACCTTCAGACCGAGCTGCCCCAAACTGTTCAAATGGTGTGACCCTCCCCAGACTGGTAATACCTCGACCACAGCCTTCTGGAACAGATTTTGCTCAAAACCCTCTTTCAAAAACTGGCCAAATTCAGCAGAGGAATCACATCTTACATCCACCATAACACTACATAGCCCTCGATGTTCGCATTCCTCAAGTATTGATCTTAAATTCGTCATATCCAGAGCGAGTACTCCATCTTTCTCGGTGATTGTGATCGTTTTTTGCATTGGAGGGACAGATAACAAAATGTGAAGTGGTTGATTTGCTCCAGGTTCTCTAGATGAAGGAACCAGAGGGTGGCAACTCTCCGCTAACAACCTGGTGGAAGAATGTATGACTGCATCATTTTCTTGCAGCAGTTTTGAGTAGTAACCGCCTGATTCACTGCCTTCCCTCCCTACCTCATCCAAAAGATGTCCATCAAGTGAGATGGAGTATCTGCAGGAAGACAGAGATGAAGATTATTTCTGCCTACTATAGTTCAAGTGATACAAAACGAAGTTGTACAGGAAATCCTTAGTTCGAGTCAAGGACAAAACTCCCAAGAACAAGTAAAGAAGAGTATAGAAATTCTGGAATTAATTACTAATCACCCAGATGTGTTTTTTCTAGCAGATATATATATATAATGCTATATTACATACGCAGCAAGTTAAGAAGTAACACACAATCACACGTACATGCTAAAGTATAGGAGATAAAATAGGAAGGAACAACTAAAATTAAGGCATGATGTAGTCTGCAAAACGTGCAGGGAGTTTCCTAGCCCGAGTGCCAACTGTTTTTCCTTTTATGCCCTTGTCAGTTTCTATGGGTGTATCACTCTCCCCCGCTTCAGAAGTCACCTTGTCCTCAAGGTGTAGGACAGGATATACTGCCTTAACCGTATCGGTATCAACCCAAGAAACATCATCCTGTGAGCTTCCTGGCCAGTGTACCAGAACTTGAGACACCAAGCGTCCATTGCGGATAATGTTACGGGAGTCACATATCATGAGAGGAGGTTGTTTGGTTTCTTCAGTCAAGTCGGCCGGTAGGATAGGAGTGAAGTCCTTCTCAGAACCGATGAATGGTCGGAGTAGAGACACATGGAATACTGGATGAATGCGAGCCTCTGGGGGAAGCTGTAACTTGTAGGACACCAGACCTACGCGTTTCAGCACTTTGAAAGGGCCAAAATAACGTTTGGACAGTTTGTGAGAGCACCTTTGGGCGACAGAGTTTTGGCGGAAAGGCTGCAGTTTCAAGAGTACCAAATCACCAGGCTGGAATTCAACTTCCCGACGGTGTTTGTTAGCCCTTTGGACCATACGATTCTGTGCATGTTGTAAAGACTGCTTCAAGAACTGTAGAATTGCATCTCGTTCAGTTAGCAAGGCATCAAGAGCATGAATATTAGTGGAGTTGGCAGTGTAACGAGGTATCACTGGAGGAGTGCGACCATATAGAGCCTGGAAAGGAGTCATCTTGATACTGTCATTGTAGCTTGTGTTGTAACAAAATTCAGCCCAACTGAGGAACTCAACCCAAGCGGTAGGTTTTTCCATGGCAAATGCACGTAGATACTGCTCAAGGCCCCTGTTAACCACTTCGGATTGACCGTCCGTCTGAGGGTGATATGCAGTACTATGCTTCAGCTTAGACCCGCTCAACTCAGATAACTTTTCCCAAAACTGGCTAAGAAAGAGAGGATCTCGATCTGAAATGATGATGCTCGGGAAGCCATGCAACTTAACAACAGTATCAACAAATAAATGTGCAACCCGGATGGCGTTGAACTTTGCAGGGAGTGCACCGAAATGAGAAATTTTCGTGAGCCGATCAACTACCACCATAATAGCAGAAAACCCGTGTGATGGTGGCAGCCCAACAATAAAATCCATAGTCAGCTCATTCCAGACTTGTTCGGGAACTAGGAGAGGTTGTAAGAGTCCAGCGGGTGCTTTGGTGAGATACTTCGTTTGTTGGCATGTGAGACATGAAGCTACATACTTTTCCACCGTGTCACGCATTTTGGGCCAGTAAAAATTTGCAGCGAGTTTCACCAATGTGCGTTTAATACCAACATGCCCAACAGCTTTGGAAGAGTGGAAATCATGAAGTAAACTGTCAATTAGTGATGAATTGGGACTGAGATAATACCTCGCTTTGTATAGTAGTATGCCGTTATTTCGTGTATACGCTGGACTAAGGTTTCCCGCATCATACTCAGCATGCAGTTTGCACATATCCTCGAGGGTGGTATTTTCTTCACGTAATAGCTCCAAAAACTCCGGCACCGGTCTTGAAGCAATCATCAAACAACTGGGCTGTTCGTGGACACGAGATAGAGCATCAGCAGCAGTGTTATCCTTGCCCGGTTTGTATTCAATCTGAAAATCAAATCCCAACAGCTTATTGACATATTTGTTTTGCTCTGGTGTCAAGAGGACTTGATGAAAAAGCTCCTTCAGACTTTTATGATCTGTGCGTATGATGAAAGAATTTCCGAGTAGATACTGGCGCCACTTACGTACAGCTTCTGTGATAGCATAAAGCTCCCGTATATATGTAGAGGAGTGCTGCAATTTTGGCCCCACCTTTTTGCTGAAATAAGAGAGTGGGTGTTCTTGTTGCATGAGAACTGCTCCAATACCGACATTAGATGCATCTGTCTCCACGACGAAAACCAATCCAAAGTTGGGCAAACATAATACTGGAGCTGTTGTTAGTGAGTTTTTGAGCTCCTAGAAAGCCTCATTAGCACTATCAGACCACTTGAACTGGTCCCTTCGCAATAAGTCGGTCAAGGGAGCGGCAATGGTAGCGTAGCCTTTTATAAAACGTCTGTAGTATCCTGCCAACCCGAGAAAGCCTCGGAGTTGTCGCACTGTTTTTGGTGTCGGCCAAGAGACAACAGCCTCCAATTTATTTGGGTCAACACGGATCCCTTCTTTGGTGATGATGTGTCCAAGATACTCTGTGGAGTCTTGGCAAAAAAAACATTTCGCTAAGTTCAAATAAAATTGGTGACTCAGTAAGAATGAAAGAACCTGGCGTAGGTGCTCCAAGTGCTCTTCGAGGGACTTGCTGTAAATCAGAATGTCATCAAAGAAAACAGTGACAAACTTTCGACGAAAAGTAGCAAGTACTGTATTCATGGTTGCTTGAAAGGTGGCAGGTGCGTTGGTCAATCCAAACGGCATAACCAAGAACTCATAATGCCCATCATGAGTGCGAAATGCTGTCTTATGGATGTCACGTGCTTGAACCCGAATCTGGTGGTATCCTGCCCGTAAATCCAATTTAGTGAACACAATTGCTCCACCCAGTTCATCAAACAATTCATCTGCTGTTGGAATAGGGAAATTGTCTCGGATTGTCACTGCATTAAGTGCCCGGTAGTCCACACAAAAGCGATAAGTTCCATCTTTCTTTCGAACAAGGAGTACAGGGGATGAAAACGGGCTGCGACTAGGACGAATGATACCTCGTGTCAACATTTCTTTCACCAAACGTTCCATTTCACTTTTCTGAAAGTGAGGGTAGCGATAGGGCCGTACATCGATAGGTTTAGTGTTAGGTAGAAGATATATACGATAATCGAAGGGCCGTTTTGGAGGAAGTGATTTAGGGGAATCAAACAATTCGGAAAATTCAACCAACAATTGTTTGAAGGGCTCTGGCAGATTAGGAGTAAGAGGTAATTGGTGTGGCTGAGGTGCGTCTGGGGTCATGGAAGCAGGTTCTCCATTGAGCTGATATATAGCAAAAACACAGTCAACTTTGTTGGAGTCAACCTCAGCTTCTAACTGTGAAAAGGAAACCGGTTGAATGTCTATGCACGTCTCTCCCCGCAATGTAACCATCTTCCCTTCGTGTTTGAATTTCATGGTTAAGTTGGAGTAATCATGTGCCACAGTTCCTAGACTTTGTAACCAGTGAATGCCTAGGACCAAATCAGGCCCGACAATGGAAAGGACATACAATTCCATCTCAAAGCGGGTACCTTGCAAGTTCATAACAACGTTTGGGCAGTAGTATTGGCATAGAAGCGTGTCACCATTGCCAATATAAACCTTTAACGGTTTAACAAGGTGTACGGGCAACTTTAGTGTTTCAACGGCGGATGGCTTGATGAAATTGTGAGTGCTCCCGCTGTCAATCATGACCAAGAAATTTTGATTGTTTATGTTTCCCCAAATTCGCAACGAACGAGGGTTACCATGACCACAAAGTGAGTTCAAGGCTGAGATATCCCCTGCTATCTCGTCCACTTCAATTTCGTCTGATTCTAGTTCAGAACTTCGAGCTCCATCATCTTCGTGGTCAGGTGCAGCTATTAGAAGGTTGAATTTACTCCTACATTTATGACCAGGGGAGTATTTTTTGTCACAGTAGAAGCACAAACCCTTCTCTCGTCGTGCTTGAACCTCTGTGGCGCTCATCCTTCTTACTGGAATGTTGTCAGTGCTCAGTTGATTAACAAGAGTTGGTGTGGGCAGAATACCTTTTGTGTTTGTGGAATTAGGAGCAGAGTTGGACCCATGGCCTCCAGTATTCCATGTTCTATTCTCAGGCATGGTTGATGTATTCTTGGGACTCCATCCTTTCGATGTAGTGCGGTACTCTTTCAGGTTTTCATCATGTTTTGCTTCGTAAGCCTTAGCCAACATAAAGGTCTCCAAAAGCGTTTGAGGTTTGGCAATCAGCAACTCTCGTTTCAACCCGGATTTTAGCCCGCCCACAAAGAAAGAGATCAGCAAGCTCTCCGGAATGCCGGTTACCTTGTTCATTAGCCGTTCAAATTCAGTTTGAAAATCTGCCACCGACCCCTTCTGTGTTAATTTCGCCAATTCGGCTCGGTGATCTTCAAAGTGTTGGGTACCGAACCGTTGTTGTATCTTTTCTAAGAAATCGTGCCACCCATATATAAGGTTGTTGCGTTTTGTCCAACGATACCGTTCAGCGGCATCCTTCTCTAAGCAAAATCCAGCTATTTGTAGCCTCTGGTCTTCTGGGGTTCTGTGGAAATCAAAATACTCTTGAATGCTAAATATCCATTGTTGCGGCTCTTCTCCGTCGAATTTGGGTATGTCAAGCCGCATGGTAGAAGGGCGAGGCAATGGATGTCCTCCTGTATAAGGCGGGTCAGATGGGTCGGAACGAAGTGGAGAACTTGATTCTCCTATCATGAAGCCGTCAGGGGGCCTCCCCGGGGAATTAAAGGTCTGCTCCCTCCCTCGAATACTCTGCAATCGTGCCTCCATGGTTTGCTGTGAGGGAAGTTATTTGTTCTCCCAGTTGACACTGAATTCGGGGTTCCTGATAAGCCATCTGCTCACAGATTTGGGTTCGAAACCTGTCAAGCATTTGCTGCAGCGAATTTAGATCGAAGGGTGTGTCAGATGTTCCCACCATGGTCTCTCAATGAAAGCACCAGTGATACAAAACGAAGTTGTACAGGAAATCCTTAGTTCGAGTCAAGCACAAAACTCCCAAGAACAAGTAAAGAAGAGTATAGAAATTCTGGAATTAATTACTAATCACCCAGATGTGTTTTTTCTAGCAGATATATATATATATATATACTGCTATATTACATACGCAGCAAGTTAAGAAGTAACACACAATCACACGTACATGCTAAAGTATAGGAGATAAAATAGGAAGGAACAACTAAAATTAAGGCATGATGTAGTCTGCAAAACGTGCAGGGAGTTTCCTAGCCCGAGTGCCAACTGTTTTTCCTTTTATGCCCTTGTCAGTAAAAAGGAAGGTTTAAATATGATTTGCGTCTTTGCAAATATAGAGTTTTTGTTTTAGGTACCTTTGAAAAATGTCTTTCATCTTTAAAATTCCAGTGGTTTTCTTGGAGTCACTTGTTGACTCTCTAGCAACCTCTGTTTGAGAATAAAACACACGTGCCTAAAAAGTTTTCTGTCATTCTTTATCATGTGATTTTGTTAAATACTTATATTTTACTTTCAGATAGCTTTAACTCCACTATTAGCCTCCACTCTCCAAAAGTTCATTAAAGTTGGAAATGCAGGCCACATAAAAATAACTCAATGAAGATAGCCACAAAATTTGGGATGGGCCGCAAGGAAAATAGCAAACATCTCATAAATGATAAATAAAAAGAGAAACTGCAGTCCTTTAAAACAAAAGGTGTAACATTTGCACTTTTGCAGGGACTAAAAACAGTTTTAAGCGAAAAATTATTATCTGTTATTCAACCACTTGGTACTTCCTGCAAAGTTGACTGTGAGGGACTGAAAAGAAACTAATTAAATTACAAGGATAAAAACGACTTTTTATAGGTCCCTCAAACAAATGGCAGTAATTTTGTTGGGGTAAAAGAAGCACATTTAAAGCCTTAAAAAGGGCAAATCAAATGTTAAATGTGTATCATTACCTTAGGGTAACAAAGGGCTTCCCTGTCAACATTCGATGTATGAAGGCCTCATTAAGCTTCTGACAAAGTTGTTCCTCAACACCTATGGTCACTTCAATTCCTGCATCAATTAGTCTACCCAACCCTTTTGAAGTCACAATAGGATTTGGGTCCACCATCCCAACAACCACCCTCTTCACTTTGGCCTTGATCAGTGCTTCGGTGCATGGTGGAGTCCTACCATAATGGTTACAAGGTTCTAAGCTCACATATGCAGTTGCACCTTCTGCCATACTCCCAGCATCTCTCAGTGCAAAAACCTATGATTTTTTGTTTTTTAAATTATGATATCCACCTGCATCAGAAATTTAGTAATAAAAACAAAACACTCTTTAAACTCAGCTCCCTTGATGAGCCTGCTTTCTTAGAGTTCAAGATACAATCGCAACTTTCAACAAGCTGAATAACCATGACTTCTTTGTTTCCTAATTTGAAGACATGCCTTCTACATCATCACTTTTCTAAATAAAGTTAATGTTCAAATCTACATCTGTATTCTAAATAACAAAAAATAGTTCGAATACTCAAATTTGCAGCTAAAAACCATCAAGTTATTTTCATTGTAAAAAAATAAAAAAATACGGATGGAAGTAAGCAAAACATTTTATAACATCCAAAGAAGCATGCAGGGAGGAGGACAGAGAAGAATTACAATCACCTCAGCATGAGGCTGACCAGCTTTAGGGTGAAACCCTTCACCCACAATGCTTCCATCTTTAACAATAACACAACCAACCATAGGATTAGGGCTTGTGAACCCAACTGCCTTCCTAGCGAGCTCTATACACCTCCTCATGTAAAATCGATCATCATTACCATATTCCCCTTTTGACGTTTCACGTGTAACATTTACCACCACATGACCACACCGATTTCGTGAACTCCTTTGTAATCCAGGTATTTTTTTGAATAAATTCTGATACCCATATTTCAGTCCTGAAGAACCAACCAAACCTTCTGATTGATTGCAAGGAGCAATAAAATTTGCTGAAGGTGGAAACTTTGTCGGAATAGGACTGCATATTGATACTGTGAGCACTTTTGCATACATTTCTAACAAAATAGAAATACATTAGCATACAGGCACAACTTTTGGGTCAATGGAATTTTTTCAACATTTATCTCAGAAATTTGAATTCAAGATAATGTAACTGCAACAAAAAAGAAGAGTCAAGAAGAAAATGAAGCAGAAAAGCATAAATCTGTGAATGCGACTTAAATAGCACAATTATGGAGATCTCAAATAGAAAACCGGAGAAAAGCGTAAAAAACATCACCAGATATGGAGATCCAAATAGCACATTTATGCACTGATAGGATACATGTATATAATTGTATTATTTGTATACAGAGAGCACATAGAAAATCATAAACCACCACAATCCAAACATACACTACAGCAAGAACATCATTAGGCCTGTCAATGGGTCGGGTCTAGACCCGGACCCGACCCGGACCCGGTTATTTTTAACGGGTATGGGTCTATATTTTATTCTGTTTACCCGGACCCGGACCTGGATCCGGACCCGTTAGTATATTTAACAAACGGGTCGAGTACGGTACATATGATTCCGACCTGTTAAGGACCCGGACCCGTTTAAAATTTCTTATTTGTATACAAACACTCTAATACATAAAGTAATTAATTATAACACTTCAAGTAAAAAATTACAAACTATACACACACACACATATACATAATTATAATAATACATAAAATTATTAGTTGTAATTCTTCAATTGAAAATACACACACTAATACATACCTATTAGTGTGTGTATTAAATTAATACCCATTTTGACCGTTTATTCATAGTGATAAATGTGTATTATTAATATTATTATATCATTATCATACACTCCATACAATATGTTTTTATACTCTCAATAGTCCAAGACATTTTTTGTGACTTAATTTGAAGTTTATGCTATGAGCTCTATGTACGAGAAAAAGCGACACAGATTGTTAAGTTATACGCAAGAACCAATACTTTATTGGATAAAAGTAATAACATGATAAACCTTGATTTTTTTAAAAAAAGTGAGGATATATTTTGCTTTTTAGTTTGCACACCTTTCTTTACATTTCACATAGAGGTCTTGTTATTTTCACAAAATTTATAGCGGTATCATACTTGGCGGGTCTACCCGACCCGGTTCCGAGACCCGTTGGGTCTGGGTCCGGGTCCAAATTTTTAGACCCGCCGGGTAAACGGGACGGGTCTGGGTCCATAATTAACTTAGCGGGTCCGGGTCTGGAATACTACGTTCCGGCCCGGACCCGACCCATTGACAGGCCTAAACATCATACCGAAGGCATTTAACTTTGAGAGCTTCTTCTTGTACACACTTTTATACTCACCTTATACCCACCATGTCTGTGAGGAGTTTTTTTTTTGTCTGTGAATCCGATTCACAGACAAAATAATTTGCATAGACATATTTTGTCTGTGACCAGGATCCACAGACAAAAAAATACTCCTCACAGACATGGTGGGTACAATAGTGTGTATAAGAGTGGGTACAAACAGTTTTTTTGTTTAACTTTTGATAGTTTGGTCCAGGACTTTCGTTGGGGGAGTGCGGTATTAAAACACACTAAGTATATTTATCAAATCAAAGGTGATTCCATTAATTTGAAAAATCTGTCCGCATATAGAACAGTAATGAACACAATATATAAGACATAATATGAGGAAAAAACTCAGCTCTTTAAAGCTTTAGTACCATGCTATCAATTGATTGCAAAAATTACAAACATACAGCATGTATACACTAACCTATAAATTATAAACTTACTAACATAATATCTATACTAATATAAAAAGGGAAACCAAGACAATAACCATTCCCACCATAAGGTTGTAACCGTTCATTAATTAACGTTCTGCCGATATGATGCAACACATACTTTCTAAATCGGTCATTTAAGTAAATGTTGGGAATTAACCGGTGCTTCGTGATTTATAGGCTTGGTAAATGTTGGGAAGGAATTATTAGTCTATCACGGACTTTCCAAATCGGTCATTCAAGTTTTAAGTACATGCCTTTACGGTTTTACACTTTTACTCCTTTAAAACAATTATTTGTTCAGGCCATGCATGATTGTTTTGGATACTTTTACAATCACGTTCGCACTTGTATGATTTCATCCGTTTATCAATGAGTGAATAATTCTAACATATGTGGGTGGGGGTTTGAAAGCTTTGATTGTCCATGAGAATAGAAGTACCATGCAAAAAAAAAGATATCAAAGGTAGTTTGAGATAGATGTACGTATCTTCATAAATTTACAGAATTACAGGTACACACTTAATTTTCATGGGGTGTCGAAGATGAACGGTAGAGCTCGCTTCCACAAAGATATGTATTAGTTCTACCGAAGAGTGGAATTAACGTTGATGGCTCTACTGTTTATTAACGCCTCTTCACAGATATTTTCAAACATGGCTACAATTATTTTAAAAAATGTGCAACTAAAGTTAGGATGTTTTTACTTGGACTGTAATTTGTCCCAGACCAGACCAGACCAGACCAGTTCAGACCAGACCAGACCAGTTCAGACCAGACCAGACTTGGATAGTTATAAAAATACAAATAAACCAGACCTTACCAGACCAGACCAGACCAGTTCAGACCAGACCAGACCAGACCAGATCAGACCAGACCAGACCAGCAAATTACAGTCCAAGTAAAAACATCCTTAATGTAGCAAGTACTCCGTATTACAGTATCACGTAGTATATATTAGAATTAGTTTTTTTTATTGCTTTTGTATAGAATCTGTGGATGCTTTTGTGTAAGTTCGACCCTTACAATAATTATAACCTGTAGGGGCGTACCAACATAGTTGGGAGTGCTAACTTAAGCTCTCACTAAATTTTAATTTTGTTTAAATTATTAGTGTAAAAGGGTGTGTGTAAAAAGATTTTAAAAAAACTCTTTGTGCCGATCCAAGTCAATATATTCCCTATGTTCCTATTCAAAAGTATCTCTTTCACATTACACACAATATAATAAAATGGTAATGTTTGACACTGTTTGATACTTTTTAACATTGTTTTACACTGATTTGCACCGTTTTGTTTACTAAATAAGAAAAGAAGATTTTTTTTGTAAGGACGGACCGAAAAGGAAAGTGGAATGTTTATTTCGAAACTGGGATAGTATTGCTTTAGTTACACCACTGATTATAACTATCATGTGCTGTTTTATCTTTTAATGTAGTCCGTATGATTTTTATACTCCATACGTAATGAGTATTTCTTCACATCAACTCATCAGTAAGACACTTGATCATTGGATCTTTTTTCCTAATAGTCATTCAAAATAAGCATATCTTTATAACTACTTCCAATGCAAATAATTAGTTAAAACATACAAATCCCTGATCTCACAAAACTTGGCCAATTCATTTTTTATTTGTCCCTAAAAATTCATTTTGAAGTAGTCTTTCGATCTCTTACATGCATAAATCTCATATTACCCAATTTTTTTTTATCAATATGCATGGCAATCAAATTTGGTCAAATTTTATGGACTGGGAGGGGTATTATTGTCCCGTGCAACGCACGGGTACAATACTAGTCTTTATGAATTTGGGAACTTCAGTTGCACAAGTTAATCAATCAAAGTGAATTTCAAAAACTAATCATAATAGCTTTAGGAACTAATGGTTTTAAATTTAACAAATTAATCAATAACAGATAAACTAACAAGCAATCAATTTACGAATGTAGAACTTGGGAATTTAGGGCTTTGAAGTTCATACCTTAGCTCAGCGGTTCTTGCCCCAATACAAAGTTGAAATGTCGTGGTTTCAACTCTTGCTAGTGACAGATTTTATATACTATGTAAAACACACTCAAATTCAATAACATGGTGACGTAGCTCATAGATTGGGTGATATGAAAAAAAAATACCCTAATTTAGGAAGTATAGAGTACTTTTAACAGGAATGGAATTCATTTCAATATTTCCGCCGCCAGCTTCTTCAAGGATGAAGGCCTAGTGGTGGACCACAAGTTTACAATGAATTAGGCACATTCAACTAACTCCTTAGTCCTTACCCACCTACCAAATTAGACAAGATTTCATGTGCATATAACCCCGGGTCGGGCCTAGGCCCGGAACCAGGACCGGTCAACCGGGCGGGCCGGTCTAGCACATTAGCGGGCCGGGCCGGGCCGGGCCGGGCCAGCACATTAGCGGGCCGGGCCGGGCCGGTTCCCAAACCGGTCAGACCGGACCGGGTCCACCACTATGAAGGCCTCGAACACGACTCCATTGGCGGAAGTACGGAAAGGATAGCGCTTATAATTTTTCCTCCTAGTTTCTAGATTTTTCCCACACCTAAAACTACAAAACTATTGAAGTTTTATATAAGACGGCTCCTAAGATTGTTGTTTGCATTGGCCGTCAGCAATTATGTTGATATACTCTTGTGAGCTTTCTCTTGGTCTTTAATTCTTTAAAACAATATTTCTTGATATTAATTTAAACAATTAAGGCCAAGAGATAAGCTCACCAGTTTAATTGTTGTACATAATAATAATTGACCTTTTACTTTTGCATTTTTTTGTTTTTTGTTAGCTACACTAATTTGATATGCATTGTCAAAAAAAATCAAAAGATGTTTTGTTATTAGTGAAAGTTTTAGAGCTTTAGTGACACAAAAATTGATAAGTTTAAGGACATTGTGCATAATAATAATTGACCTTTTACATTTGCATTTTTTCGTTTTTTGTTAGCTACACTAATTTGAAATGCATTGTAAAAAAGAATCAAACGATGTTTTGTTATTAGTGCAAGTTTTAGAGCTTTAATGACACAGAAATAGATAAGTTTAAGGACATGGACATGGAAAAAAACATAGCGGTTTTTTATAAGCTTAGTGCAAGTTTTTAGTATTGGTGAAGTTTTGGAGCCCTTTTGAGAAGACAAAATGGGTTTTCGGAAAATAGTGTTGCACAAAAAAGAATAATGGTTTGACCTTTTTAAAAGTTTTCAATAAGTGAGAGCGTCATTTTTTAAATAGTTGTTCGGTCATAGTGTTTTTGAACGGAACCCCTGAAATAGAAACGCTGCAAAAGCAACATTTTGGATTTACGTTCTGGAATAGAATATTGCCTACCAATTGTTATGTCTAAACAATTAAATTATCAAAGATTTTTTGCAACCTTTTAACTTATTGCGTTAGTCAAACCCGCAAATTAACCAATTGCAAGTTCACTCATGTGCTACGGAGTATTTCCTAATCTGACCCTTCTCCATTAGCACAAGCGGACATGCACAAATTGGGGTTTTCTACACATAGGAAGAGAGCCCAATACTCAATAAGGTTATCATCCATTGCCCATTTGCCCTTGATTGGTTTTTAGAAGAAGGTAGTTTATATTGATATCACAACATTCAGATAGGGAACAAACAGATAAAAGGACCACTCCTGACCGCCAGCCCTCAAACTATACTTAGAGTCAATCACCTTCCAGAGAGCAATATGACTCACTCATCCTATGACGGGAATAACTGAGCCAAAAGTGGTCAAAACAGACATGTCATCACCCAATCCTAATACAAGAGTATGACATAACGAAAAATAAAATACGAAAGCAAAAACAGTCTGACCAAAATAAACGACAATAATAAAAGTAATATTACTTCCTCCGTATTTTTTTGTTTGCTACACTTACCTTTTTGGATGTATTCAGAAATTTGCTACACTTTCCCTTTTTGGTAAGTTTTTCCTTTAAAAATACTTAACTACACTTACCTTACTTTTTATCTCCTCTTTCATTCTTTTCCACTATCTCTCATACTTTTTCTACACCATTCATTACCCCTACTATTTCACTCTTAAAAAATGTGAACACCTATTGTAGCAAACAAAAAAATACAGAGGGAGTATTAAACTTTAGTTGCATCCCCAGAACCACGAGAAGCCCCACCTGTCCTTCCTTGCCATAAAGCTTCCTTAGAACTCTCGACGGGCTTGGTGTCCAGGACCTGCCTCTTCCCCGTTTTTTGGCTCATCCAGAGCCATGTTATCTCCACTCGAATCCTCGTGCTCCTGTTTCTCCCACAGGCTCCTACGCTTTGGTCTCCATGAACCTCCTCCGTACTAGCTGATCCTACATTCTCTGTCATATTCTTCCCAAAATTAGCTACAGTGATGACCCAATTATGTTCCTGCCTCTGTTTGCCCAGCCATTCCACCCTCTCTGCCCTGCTTATTTTCTTGTTTCTTCATACCCATACCTGGTGAAGATCCCTCTTGAAACAACCACTTAATACCCCCTTAAGGGTGGGGATGTCCCCCTCCGCTAGCTCGAAGCCTCATCCCAAAGGATTTCTTTAACACTTCTTTTTCACACTCATATGTCAAAAGGAAAAATTTCTCAGCATGGCCAATAACTCCGCATATAAAGCAAAAGTTGGGTAGTTTTTCATATTTATAGTTCACCTAGTGTCCAACACCCTGCCCTTTCCTAAGAGTTGTACCCACCTTTAGAGGTTTCCCTATCTCCATACAAACACTAATCTCATATAGGCTTCCCAAGTTCCTTTAAATTGACTTTCGTAAAAAATGATAAACTTTCCAACAAAATTACCAATCCTCATCTCCTAGCACTCCTAAAGTCATATAGCCATATGACAAATTATGCACATGCCCTCAAAATTTAGCTTCATTTGGAGGAATCTTAAGTGGTATATCCCACGGCATAACCGCCCTAAGAATAAAGAGATTCTGTTCAAACAACCACTGACCACTTTCCCTACACACGCTGCATATCAACTACTCTGTATATGATAAAAAGTGAACAAGATACCTTTTGTCATTGATCTCTTTGTTCGAGACTCCTTTTCCCGGACGCCATAATGAAGCCATAAGATCTCTAAGAACCTTGAATTTCACCATTCTTTATCGGTTAGGCGATAGGCGCTGGGTTGGCGTCCAGACTAGCGCCTTTTTTAACAACTATGGTTATTCAATCACTACTTGTGTCTAATTATGTGTAGCATTGCAACTAATGGTTATTGACATTTAAATAGATTGTCAAGTAAAAAAAATACTTAATACAAACATTGTAATTATTTTCATATCTTAACGGAGAGATCGGTGGACGAGTTCATTAGAGGAATATGAGATAAGAGTAGAACAATGTGTTACATAACACAATTTTTGACATATATTTATGCGTCTTTTAGTACCGACATATTCAATATGTGTTTGATATAGAAAATACAAATTAATCTATACATTGAGGATCGACAATAGTTTGTTATAAGTTCAATTGACCAGATTTTTTTTTAAATAAGAGTAAAACAATGCCTAAGTTTAAAAACATGAGTAAAACATGTTTTCCTAAATAAGAATGATTTACTGTCACACTAAAATTTGTCATATTTTTAACATATAGACTTTAATATGTCAATATTAATGTCATAATTGACCATATTTTTCAAGAATGACGATAATTACTCATATTTAATTAGAGAAAATACAATAATTACTCTTCCAAATTTGACATTATCAAGATATGAAATAAACATTATGTTGACATCCATTAAAAGAAACTTTCTAATCCCAAACTATTTTGATTAAAACATATGTTAAATAAGCGAACCCATTATCACTTTTAAAATGAATATTCTTTTTCTCAATCATTTTGTTATATATCACCCAATGTAATGGCAAAATCATTTTGATTTGTGACATACACAATTTGTCATTTCTATGACTTCCTTATAAATAAGAAAATTATGTGTCCACCAATGCTCTTGAATACGGATTATTTTATTTTGATTGATAAAGAACTAATCTTTTCTCCACTCATTGTGCGAATAAACAAATTCCCAATGTAATTCATTTTGAATAACATTTACGCAAAGTATATATTTTCGTAGAGATATAAATGTAATGTGTCCAACTTTTAAGAAATATAAGATGGCAAAAAAGGGTTCAATTTTTCAAAAGAAGAAATAAATATTTTAACAATTTTTACATATCATCTTCCATATTTTTTCTTGATACGGTAACTTAAACTAGACTCATTTTAATGTAGGAACACAATAATGTATAGAGATTAGAGAGTAAAAGTATGCATTTCAATGTGATGCAACACCCCTTTATAGTTGTACCCTTTTATTGTTGATTCCATATACATTATAAAAAACATTAGATATACACAGTTCATCTAAAACACCTGTTTTTTTTTTTCGAGGGGTTAAGTGGAGGCGACTGGGGAACCTGGGGTAAACATGATTGAATCTCCCTCAATGGAGTTTCGAACATGACTGAACCCGCAACCTCACGTATGAGAGAGCGAGACAACAACTAGCTGAGTTGGGCCACTTCATCTAAAATACCTTATATTCAATTATTGAACTTCAACAATCATCATAAAAAGTACAACAACTTGCATGATCAATTCAGAAACACAAGTCACGAATATGAGGGTGTAAAAAGTGAAAAGTTTGGACTCCTTTGTGGTGTTTAGCAGGTTCAATAATTCTCCTCTTTCCACAAAACTAGAAAATTGAAGGATAGAAAATAAAAACAACTATGTTTATTCAGTCACTACTCGTGTATAATTACACGTAGCATTGGGACTAATAGTATTGACATTTGAACTAGTTGCCATGTAAAAAATAAATACTTAATATAAACATGGTAGTTATTTTCATATCTTAAGAGAGACATTTGTTGACGTGTTCATTAGAGGAATATGGGATAATCTGCAACAATCGTATTAGACCAACTATGAGGGAAAATGTAATACAAACCGAAACGGGAGAAAAAATTGTTAACTTGTGAAGTGCAATTTCAAGATTTAGTCGATCATACTCTCACACCCACAATACTACACGCCCCACTCACATGTTTTCCCTTATCAATGAACTTTGGGTTTAATCAAAATCATAGTAAATTGAGAAGATTGTAATGCTAGCTTCAATGTATGTTTCTCAATAGAAGGCAAGCCAAACATCATCAGCATTACCCCATTGCCACAAACCCACCTACGGTAGGGTAAGGGGATGTACGCAGTCTTACCCCTGTGCTAAAGCGCAGCTGCACAGAGAGACTATTTTCCGTATGACCCATAGTGAAAATTGCGTCCTAAATTGCATAGACTGACTATTGCTCCATAACAAAGAAGCGCAGACAGTTTAATGAGTCATTTTGCTTTGTTCCATCATATTCTCAAGCCAAAAAATAGTGAATATTTGGCTCCATTGCAAATGATGGGAAAAAGGCAAGCCAAACATAGAGAAGAAAATAATAGTAGAATGTATTTGGAAGAAACAACGAGATTCAATTTCTCTAGAACAACAATTAAACATCATCTTTATTTGATACCAAAGTAAAGATGAAGGGGAAACATTAGTACATGTATTTGGAAGCATATTCTACGAAAGGTTATATGAACACTTTACTAAAAAAATACTGCACTTCTTTATTTAAATACCTTTATTTCACACACAATCCTTTTAGTTTTACCCTGCTCAGCTACTATAGTCTTAAATTGAGTGCAATCAACCTATAATTATTAACAATAACAACATACTTGAAGATTGAGTACAAGAATGTGATGGATAATTTTGCTTTAAAGGCGACAAGGTCGCCTGAAACTTGTGAATTTATTTTTATGCATACGTGGGGCCTTAAATTTACATTTGGAATCAGGACCTCTAAATTCATTGGACAACCCTGTTTGTTTTTTAGTGGGTGTTCTTTCTTCTGAAGGTACCATATTTCCACCTCCAATCGGTTTGGATGAGGTTGTTGGTTTATAGATGCTATAGTCCCGGTGTTTGGCTATTTGTCTATAGTTCTCACCGACGACATCAATGTTAAATTTTAGGGGGTGAACCAACATAAAAAGTAGAATGTAATTGATATATATATATATATATACACACACACACACACACAACTATTCAGGTCCGGCCAGGCCGGACCCCCCCCCCCCCCCCCCCGTCCGGCCTCCTCCATTTGGGGGCCTTCCCGGTGGTATTTTTTGCTCAAATTTTTTGTGTAGGTTTCTCATCAAGTCTAGTTCATCCATACCAAATTTCAGCCAAAAACTCAATCGGGAAGGTCGTCAAATGATTTTTGCAAGTTAACTGGTCCGGACCAGTTAACTTGCAAAAATCATTTGACGACCTTCCCGATTGAATTTTTGGCTGAAATTTGGTATGGATGAACTAGACTTGATGAGGAACCTACACAAAAAATTTGAGCAAAAAATACCACCGGGAAGGCCCCCAAATGGAGGAGGCCGGACGGGGCTCCGGTCAGGTATACCTGACCGGAAGAGTATATATATATATACACACACACACACATTTGGGAACCTTAAAGAGAGGTAATTTCTTTGTGTGAGTATTTTTTAGTTCAGGATGAATTGGAGCCTTTTTAATTTAGAGGAAAACTGAGTATTTCAGACGAGTACAGGGGCGAGAATCTATTGCGGCCTCTTCTATAAAAATTGTAGAAACAAATTCTATGAGAACTCAAATGCATAATAAAAATAATACAAAATTTAATAATAAAGAAAAGACTTCTATAATTCATCAAATATATAAAACTCACAATTATTTAAAAACAAATATTACTTAAACTCATTTCTTGCTCAGCCGATAGATGAAGTGAAATCATCAAATGTAATTTCATAATCAAATCATGTATTCCTATCAATTTCGAACACTAGCACAAAACTAACAGTTGTATAAAGAACAGTTCAAAATTTAAAAACAGTTCAATGAATAGGTAAAAAAGTTGTATAAACTAACACTTGCTTAGTATTAATTTTAAAATTTTAGTGTTTTTAGTCGGACTAAACTTGCAAGTATATGTAAGTACCGATGTAGTAAAAAATCCCGAGGCAACTTCACGGGAAAACGTTGTTCTATCAAGATAAAATGACCGAGGCAACTTTGTCAAATCTTATGACTCCGATTAAGGTAGTGTGAGTGTGGTTTTCCCTAGTGTAAGTTCCGTTATTACTCACATTCATCTAGAGTAACTCCGTTGAATATTAATATAACACACACGCACAATACAAGACTGGGTGTATTTTTATCCTCAATACTTTGTATATTTTTTTATAGAGAACAAACTATATTGTCCCATTAATTGAAAATATATAAACCTCTAGATATTATGCAATGTAGTTGTATATATAGATTTAATTCTAAAAAGGGTAAAATGTGTATTGAGGTTAATTCGTCTAGATTCAAAGGCTCAGCATAAACCTTTGTATACCAAAAAGTGCTTCTCCAATAGAAATAATCAAGATAGTGAATCAACAAATTAGATGACTCAATAGCCCAATTGTATTAACGTAATTATGCGAATTACAGGGAAATGGCTGAACGGGAGTACGGTCCAGTTGCTAATACAAAGACTAGAGTGAAGTTCCAATTTCCAAAATGCTAATACAGGATTTAATCCCTTTAGTGAGTATAAAAATGTTAACCTCTTACAATGAAATAAATACCACTATTTATACTAGAAGTGGTAGGTGGGATGGATAACTTGGCCGACTCTGACTGGCTGATCCCTTTGACACTTGCAACACTCATGCCTCCACTTGAGTGCCCATACTCTATCATTAAATGCGCCATTGCCACTTGCAAGGCCTCCTCGGTCGGCTCTTTAGGCTAACGTAATTAGCAACCAAGGGTGATGTTTGTTATTTGTCAAGTACTGAATCTAACCCATTTGGGAGCTACTGAACGGTTCATTCCCGACCGGTGAAAACCCGTTCGAGAATTCCCTGGTATTCATTGGGCTCCGCTGCTTCTTTGGGCTTTAAGGATATTCTTGGCCGGGTTATTGGGTTGAGCCCTAATATCCCAACAATGTGAATTACTCTTTTAGTATCAATTGATATTTTAACGTTACTACTTCATATCAAATGCGGTTATACTTTTATATTGCCTAAAATGGATGTCTACTTAAATTTAAGAAAAATAAATCATAATATATTGACTTAGAACAAATATCAAGAACAAATGTGCATAGAGGTTTATCCCGAACCTTAGCATTAGGCCTTAGCCTCTAATACTCATATTAATCAAGATTACAGTGTTTTGAATGTAAAAGGGCGTAAAAATATAAATGAAATATTACCTAAACATCAAACAACTGGAAGAAATGAGCTTTCTTCTTCAAGAACATCATGAAAAACTAAGAAAGAAATATAAAAAAACTAGTAGCTAATCTACAGACAAAAGGGATTAAATCTTGTATTTCGGATATAATAAAACTTGTAAGGCGGGCGTTGGCATTTAGGCTTTAGACGTACATCAACCGCTCGAAGTGAAGAAATCTAATGGATTAGATCGCTGTTTGAACCTCTTCAGCAACCGTCCGTTTTCGACAATCTCTCATACTTTATATTATTTATGAATATATTTTGAATAAGAAACATTTCATATAATTTTCATATTCAAAATAAATTCATATTAAAAATATGATTATTCAAAATTGAATGTCGAAAAATTCATTTCTTGGAAGAAGAAATGATACTCCCTCCGTCCCAATTTGTTTTGCAAAGTCAACAATTTTTGGTCAACCAATAATAAAAGTCAACCCTCCATATGGATAATTAATTCAATTTTTAATAATTAAAATTTACATATTCAAAAACTACATTAAAATCTCTTCAAAGTTGTAAACTCCAAATTACAATATAATTAAAAATTGACATCCTAATTAAGTTAATAAAACGAGACTGTTTGATTAAGAAAAGTCAAATTTGTAACTCTTTTTGGGACGGAGGTAGTATGTGATACCAAATTTGAGAGATCATTTTCCTTGGGTGAAAAATGATTGTAGGTAGCAGAGTGGCACGTCCTATAGGGTCAATTGGGGAGACAAAATGATGTCCCACTTTTTCCAATTCTCGAACGTGAAATACAGCCAAAATTCCTCCTTAAATCAAAAGCAATCAAAACAACAAACAAAAAGCACCAAAGAACTAAAATTCCCCACAACAGTACAAACAGCACAGAAAAATAACCCCTTCCGCCATGGGAGGAGGAGCTCAAGCTCTGAGCCTTCATGAAGGCGAGAAGGAAAGCATAACAACCCGCATTTCCGCAACAGGCGAATACGCAAACCTGCTGGGCCTGGGCCTAGCAGAAAACGACAAGAACAGCGTGGGACCCCCAAAGATCGTGTCGGTTCTGGGGTCAGTTCTGGAGAAGACGATGAAGAAGAATGAGAAGCAGAGGGGTGGGTCCTCTGTTTCTGCTGACGTCACGGTTTTCCATGGCAGCCGGGCTCCTTCCATGAGCGTGGGTCAGTACGTGGACCGGATCTTCAGGTACTCCAACTGCAGCCCGGCCTGTTTCGTGGTTGCTTACGTTTACCTGGACCGGTTCGTTGCTCGGACCGGCGCCGTGCTGACGTCACTTAACGTTCACCGCCTTCTGATTACCTCCATCATGTTGGCCGCCAAGTTCCTCGACGATGGGTAAACTTCTGTTTGCAATCTCTTTCACTTATTCTGATTATTACTTATTAGACTTTTTGACTAAACTTTTAAGATACGTAGTACTCCCTCCGTATCAATTTAATTGACCCGTATGTTTTTTCACGTAGTTTAAGGCAAATATATGTAAAGTAGAAGGTTTTTGGTACTGTAGCGGTACTGTAGCTGCTTTTTGGGTGAGTTTATTTCCAAAAAGGGAAATGAGACATTTATTTTGATACGTCCCAAAAGAGAAAGTGAGTCAAATAAATAGATACCGAGGGAGTAGCACATTAGCACAAAAAGTTTTGTGTTTCTATGTCACTCATGTTATATACAGTATGATCCTATACATCATTCATAGTGTTGCATTAGAGATGTTATTAGTGTAAAATTTATTTTAAGTTATGACACAAATCAAAATATTATATGTAAACATAAAATATGAAAATCAATTTCCCAAATTATTTACACGTTTAACGATGAAATCCATGTCTTAAAGATTAATTCACCAGTCAAGTGTTTTGTGATTCAATAGCATCACTGTTACGTTTCAAAGGATATCACGAGTTTGAATTTATTTCATTTCGATGCTATTGACATTTTACACGCCGATCAAATTGTCTGTATACAAACAATTTGACTGGTATTTTGTGAAGAAAATCATTTTTTGCATAGACAAAAAAAAATGTTTGTGATACAAACAATTTTGGATTTTACCTGTGCAAAAAATAATTTTCTTCCCAAAATATCAGTTAAATTGTTTATATACAAACAATTTGACAAACGTGTAAAATGTGACTTACAAATACTATGTATAAGTGGCATTGGTGTATCAATAAAAGTTGGGTCGATGTGGCGCACCGTACCGTACCCTTTTCAAATCATTCCCGCAAATTTCGGTAGGAAAAGAAACTTTGTCAAAGTGAAGGTGAAAAGTGAGACTGAGAAAGGAAAGCAAAAGAAAATGGTCCTTTAGAATTTGAAAAAGTTCCCAAATATTGGAATTATTGGTAAATGGTAATGGAAACAAGAGAAGTGAATATCGATACAGAAAAGAAGTGTACTGGTGCTAGTTTGGAACCATTCCCAATTTTCTGCTCCATTATTTTTATTTTAGGTTTTTATTATGGTAATTTTTTTGAAAGGTATTTCTTAATTATCATAATCAAACAAATTTTGTCATAGGCCAACCAAAAGTCCAAAACCGTTTTTTCTAGACATTTTGTTTTATTTCATTAAAAAGAGCAACCACAAGTCACAAAATGATACTCCGTAATAAACATGATTTTTTTTCTAAATTGGTCTCAAACTCAACTGATCGGGTCCGACCTCATTTGAATGATACTAGTAAACATGTATTCTATATGTATTTTACATTTGTCAGAAGTATATGATCTATCATAAAATATGGAGTAAAAAGTCTAATAAAAAACATCCTCATTTAGATCAATAATCGTGCACAAATTTGAAGAGTTCCGAATAGGTGCGGAGTTAGAGGGAACCAACCTAGACCTAATTCATCCAAATTTAAAAAACGTCTTAATTTTTAAGGTAAAAAAGTTTTGTGTAATTTTTTCCACAAAAATATTCTTAGTACTGATCCAGCGCCCAGACTCTGTCCCTCGTTCCGATATACAAAACTAGGGGTGGACTCGGGCCGGGCGGCCCGGCCCGGTTACTGTTTGGCCCGGCCCGGGGCCCGGTGGGTCCGTCGGTTTGGTTTGGCCCGGCCCGGGTGATGGGCGGTCCGGGCTCGGGCCCTGCTTTAGGTGAACCGGCCCGGCCGGTTCGGGCCCGGGCCGGGCCGGATTTTAATTTTTTTTTTTTGAAAAATTTTTAAGTTTTGGATTGGATTAGGTATTTTGGGCCATTTGAGGTGGTTTGGAGTTGAGGGGGAGGGGTAGGGGGTTAAATAGGAGAACCAAAATCAAAAAAAAAAAAAGACCGGTTTGGCCCGGCCCGGTTTGGCCCGGAACCGGAACCGGAACCGGCCACCGGCGGTTCGGGCTCGGGCCCGAACAATATTATAGAATTATGGCAAACACAAAGTGCATGTACGAGTGGGGCTAGCCAGGCCACTCTCAAGTCAACCCACCACCACCTATTGTCGCAGCAAAATATGACTAGACTAGTGGATACATATTTGACATCATATCAAATTAACGATCTTCTATGTCACTTCTTCTGTAGCTGTTATAATAATGGATACTACGCAAAGGTTGGAGGGATCTCAAACTCAGAACTGAACAAGCTGGAGATGAAGTTTTTGACTGCTCTTCAGTTCAGGCTGCATGTCAGTGTTGACACCTTCATCAGCTACTGTGCGCTGCTCGAGAAACCGGAACGCCCGGTCAACCCGCCGCGGGTTAGAACTTCCGGTTTCAGGAAATATTTAGCTAAAATATTGATTGTGCAATGAGAATTGTAATTAGATGTGCTGATGGACTATAATACCATTTTGTATCTGCTATTCTGAGTAGGCAATCAACACACTATTTTAGATGGAATGTAAAATAAATCTAACACAGTGGGTCACCGGCCCTGGATTGGGACCGGCATGATCCGCACTGGTCTTGAGACCGGTTGGGAGACCGGTTTTCCGGTCCCGGGTGGACCGGAACCGGGAACCCCGGTTCGTATTACCCGGTCCCGGGTGCCAAAAAATGCGACCGAGCCCTATTCGATTTAAGGTTCCCACTTTTTTTGGACATCTCATATAAAATTTCACATTTCTATTTTAGAAAAAACAACACTTTTAAATGATAAATTAATCATCAAATGTTAAAAATAATATATTTATAACATCACACTTATCATCGATGACCCTCTTATTTAATTATCTTATTTAATTATTGTCTAAATAACACTCTTATTTTCCTATTGACTGGCAACCCAACGGCTCTTTGGAGCCAACTAGCACCCCAATGGTGACGGTTGACCATTCTACACGACTGCTCTCTTATAAGTGTTTATCATTTTATCTCCAATTCTTTCATATCTGTTATGGAGGAAATGTTAATTTACTACGCTACCTATAAGAACATGTCAAACAACATGTTTTATGTGTACAATGGAAAACACGAAGGCAGCGACTATGGCATAACATATTTGTATTGTGTTTGTGTTTATCATTTAAATGTTATGCACTATTTTGTTATTGAATAAGACTATGATTATGGCATGACATATTTGTATTGTGTTTGTGTATTATTAAATGGTATGCACTATTTCCATATTGAATAAGACTATGCCTACCGTTGTAATATTTGTAATTATTTGAAATTTGTTGTATATGTCATGTCCTTCAATTTGTCAAATTGGAACAATAATTTTTCATTATTGGAACAATAATTTTAAATGTGCTAATTATTCAAATGTTATGCACTCAAATGAGTTTTTCTTTTGGCATTTTCACACTATTATTAATAAGTAATTTGAAAAAGGAGGTGGGGGGAGCCGTAACCAGATCACAGTGGGCCGACAAGGGCAGCTTGAACAAATTGGAGGCCCTAGACGAAAAATGTTTATATTTACAAATCAGATTTATAAGGGAAAAGGGGCAAATAAGCCCTCGAACTAATAAAAAAAGTGCATATAAGCCCTTTTGTAGGAGGTTCTGTCCGATCATCGTCATTTGGGGAGGTTCTCGGTGGAATTTTTTGATGAATTTTTTTGAACATCTTCTTCATTAAGTCTAGTTTATCCATACCAAATTTCAGCTAAAAATTCAACCGGGAAGGCACTCAAATGACTTTCGGAACTACACTGCGTTGTTTAACTGCGCAGTTATCTTCAAAAATTCATTTGACTATCTTCCCGATTGATTTTTTAGTTGAAATTCGGTATGACTAAACTAGACTTATTGAATAAGATGCTCAAAAAATTTCATCAAATAATTCCACCGGGAACCTCCCCAAATGACGATAGACAAACGAAGCCTTCTATAAAAGGGCTTATTTGCACTTTTTTGAGTAGTTCGAGGGCTTATTTGCCTCTTTTCCCGATTTATAATGATATGCAAAGTGTACAGTAACTTGTACTTCATGAAACCCTATTGGCTTATTTTTCTTGATTTTTAAGTGCAAAATTACCAAGGACAACACAAAACTATTTCATGTTATTATCATAATGCAATTATACGAAATTAGTTAAATTGCCAATCTAGAACACCAAGAAGCAATATGCTCATATAACCCAATAATTTATAAATTGTTTCATATATACTGATTTAGTACAAACCTTCACAGTAGCCTTGGAAACACATATGAAGTAAATAAAAAGGGCCTTCTCAAAATCGGCATAAGCAAATTAAAAAGCTTCACCGCTTTACTCTTTTTATTTTTAGACATGTAGACGCAATTGAAAACATAAAAAGGCTTTTTAATTATAATCAAACTTGAAATGTATCAGGCTATAAAGGAAAGCAATCAACAAGTAATTACAAACATCCATAAGTACGCACAAAGTAATGAGAGAAATAGAAGAATAGAGTTCAAAATCAAATGGTGAAAAGAAGTAAGCGGTTGTCGGACAGAAATTTTGCACTTGCTGGGTGGCGTCGCCACGTCAATGCCCTTGAGAAAGGGTAATTCTAAATACAGCCCCAATTTTACTTTTTACAGCCGCAATTATTAAATATTCCTAGTTTAACCTTTTACAGCCCTATCGTGACTATCTCGCTGACTAGTTCTCCGGGAGCTACAGACATGCTTAAAATCAGTAAAACAACGGATTGAACCACATTGAATTGCTTCCCTCATCCCAAGAAAATGGTGAAGCCAATCCCGACTAGAAGAAGAGTAGCGGCTTGTAGTCCAAGAGGAACTGACCTTGGATTCATTTAGGCATAAATGGATATTCCATGAACTGGATGCACCTTAAAACTACCAATAATGGTGGACGATATTTTTGGGTGATTGAGCAGAAACCAACACTTTTTGCAAGGAGATGAAAGCTTCACAGGGAGATAGTAGTTCGCAGAAAGCTTATGTTCAGCGACTTCACATAAGAGATGCAAGGATAAAATAATAATTTCTTATAGTTGGAGGCTGTGAATAGTATTTTAGGGGCTTTATTTAATTAGAATTCCCCCTTGAGAAATCGTTGATATTGGAAGGCGGCCGCTGTGGGCGGAAAGTTTGTTTTCCGGTTTGGGTTTGTGAGGTGACAAGGGCATAAGGAATTGCCGATCTGCTTGAGCTGTTTCTAATACTAGCAGTCATACTACTAATATCTTTTTTATATTTTGAGACCCTATGGGAATTTGAGACCCAAGGCTGCCTGGGGCAACTGGCCCTATAGCCGGCTCTGAGGGCCAATCCCGGGCTCAGTGGCGGATCCAGAAATAATATGTATTGGGGGCGCATTTTCTATAAAAAAAGTTAACGAAAAAACTATAGCTAATCTAATCTGAGCTCTATTAGTAATGTTTTATTTATTGTGTGTCAATTTTTTTTTTAGAATATTAGATCAAAAAGTAAAGATTTTGGAATTTCAATATAAGATTGCTATGTTTTTCTTTCCGAAATAGGAGTAACATGACAATATTTACTGCTATTTTGTAGTCATTATTATCAAATAGTTGCAAGAACATGACAATATTCACGACTCCGTAGTATCGTATCAGTAATGGTAGTAATTTTCAACCATGACAATACTTTTCAACTATGACAATATTTTTCAATTGTGGCAGTAACGACTCCTATTTTTGAAAGAAAAACATCGGCATTCTATTTTGTATTATCAAAACATATATACTTCTATTTAGGGTAATTTCCCATAAAATATTTGCTGACATTGACATTTACAAATATTACCTAAATAACCGGTCATAACCAAATAAACTATTACTAAACAGAAAATCATTTTTAATTGGTATGGTATTTTATATTTACGATTATGGAAACTGACCAAACTATTGACAAAAACTATTTTTATTTGTTGTACCATTAACATCTTGCTCATGAAATGTTTAATTGAGTTTCATATGTATCAATTTACATCCCTTTAATTTATATTTAGTCCGTTTAACTATTTATCATTAAAATGCGTAAAGCACGGCTATACATATCATGAATCATCATGATCCATCTTGTATTAATATTATATACTCCATATTATTATTGGGGGCAACATAAACTTTTTAATGGGGGCAAATCTATTTCTTCTACCAAAAAAAAGTTTTCATATACATATATTTAGCTCAGTAGTTAATTTTTATTGGGGGCATGTGCCCCCATTACTCAATACGTACATCCGCCCCTGCCCGGGCTCCATAAAATTTCCCGGGGACCGGGCGGTCCCCGACCGGAACCAAACCGGACCAGGTCCACATCTAACCCAGTGGCTTTGAAGCATATTAAAGTGATTAAACCAGTAATCTTATTGTAATCTTCTTTATCTACACATTATCTACAATATGTGTGTGCATTAATGTGTGTGTGTGTAAAAATGACGGGTTGTGATATGATTCAAGTCTCATTCAGATGAATCTTCAGAATATGATTGAGATTTGAGATTGTGAGCCGTTTGCTCAACTAAGTATTAAGTAATCCCAACTCCAAAACGACTACTTAAATTGAGCTCAAATGAAGCCCTCGACTTGGAGCCGAGATCGGGAGTAGATTTAACTTGGAAGTTTGCCATTGCTTCTTCAAAGAGATAATTTGTCACGATTGTTATTTTTTTGGATGGGTGGTTTTCAACTGGTATCTTCAATATTGTTGCAACTTGTAGGCTTTGATGACTGGTGTCAAAGGGAGGGATTCTTATCCAATTGCAGCTCATTTAATTTTCTGCTTTAATTTTCATTAGCGTGTTATTTCAATAGCAATTATGTTACTTCTTTACATTTCTTCCATCATTAGCGCTCTTATTTTTGCTTAAATAAATGTAAAAAATGACTTCCTTAACAACTACAAAATCACATATTCAAACCATATAAACACAGTTAATTTCCGATATTATGGCTGTTGAAAAATTCCACTCTGGTACTCGTCTTTTTCTTTCAAAATAAACCACAATCATTACAACTCTTGAAATTTCTCGTCAAAGGAACATGTAAAGCTAATTCAGGGTTTGCTGGTGTTGGGATATATTATCCCGGCCTATTACTGTTCAGGAGCCCAAGACATTACCCAGTACGGAGCTCGAGCAGATAGGCCCATTTTGGCCCATTAGGCCCAATATTGGCCCGTTTGGCCCATTAGGGTGGAGAGCACTCTTTCCCCTTTGTCTATAAATAGGGAGTTTAGCCTCCAAATTATGGATCTTCTTCTTCTTCCTTCTTCCTCTAGAATAGCTTACAAGACTCCATTAATGGGAGCTCAAAATGTATTATGTAATGGTGAGGAGAGTCCTAATGAGAAAGAGACGGCTTGGACATTAGCCTAAAAAGTCCCGTGGTTTTCTCCCTTTCCGGGTTTCCACGTAAAAATAGCTTGTTCATACACATTTATACATATATTTACTATATCGTGTTGGATTAAACTCAACACTGGCGCCGTCTGTGGGAATCTGTCAAAAAAGATTCATGTGTTCTACACAAATTTCATACGAGAATGCACTGATTTCAGCAAGAAGAAGAAAAAATCTGGAACCGCGGTCTTGGGAAGCCCCGGATCTGAGGCAGTAATATGGCTGCCAGCAGTACCTGCCCAATCGACCAAGCAAGGAGGAAGAAGGGAGGAAAAATGGAAGAATCTGGGTTTCTCCCTGATTTAAGCTGGAAGCGTCTGTCACCTCCTGCGGCCGTGTATCGTCTGGAGCTGACTGTCCTGCTGGAGTTCGCTGAATACGGTAGAAGATCACCACGACGACCCAGGTTTCGTTGCACCGCTGATGGTCCGCCGCCGCCGCCGCCGGCCGGAGAGTTCACCGTTCCTCGGGACTCGCCCGGTGCCGCACCCATCACTGGCAACTCCCAGGTCCGTTTAAACCAGTCCCCACGAACCCAGTGGTTCTTGACGATCTGCAGGGGCGGAGTAGTACTCAGGGGAGATGGCGGAGAAAGAAAATCGGACCCTGACAGCCACTCCTCCGCCGCAGACGCTCTGCTTCTTCGCCGGTCCTGGCTCGCCTCTCTACTGCCGCTGCAGCGCCATCGCCTGACGCCGACCCTTTCTCCGTCTCAGCTCAACCTCCAGCCAGATGTCGATACCTCCGACGTTTGGCCTTGGGTTGGTGAACCGTTGCTTCAGCCAGCTTTCCAGAGGATATGGGGTACTGCACATCAACCAGATGCCTTGGTGCTCAGCAGACCACGTCCGAGAGATAAGGGCCAGGCAGTGGAGAGCCAATTTTCTTTGGAGGAACTTTGACCGGGTCAAAATTGGGGAAATGAGCTCAATCTTCACTACTGCAAGATATCAGTCTGGCCGAGCCTATTCAGTTAAGTACCCATACCCATACTTCAATATTGGTACATTAATTGTTCAAATATTAGTATTGCTAGTATTTTTTATCACCATTATTTAATAGGGAATAAGACTTCCCGAAATTAAATAATGCCGAGCGATGCTCTAAGTGATAATTAGCTTCACCGTCATTTAAATTAAATGACTGATTGTTGTGAGCCCTTAGGCCGCTCCCGATCGGCTTTAATTAGCGAACGGAGTATACTTGAATGGCCTTTGATAGGAAAGTATCATTGCTATTACCGGTTATATCATTATTATTTATTAGGGATAAAATGTCCCGAATTAAATAATGCAGAGCGAAGCTCTAGTGATAATCAGTTCAGCCAACTTTTTTATTAAATATTTAATTGTTGGTGGGTTCGATTAGCCCACTCTCGATCGGCTTTGATTAGCGATCTGAGCGTCTCCAGAGGGTAGTGCCCCGATGACGCGTTTTAATTTGGGGGGTTACGCATTAGTCCGCACGGCACCAAGTGCTCAAGCGACGATCGTACCCTAGTACCATCTACGCCATTAGGCACGAAGTGACTATTGCCAAACATGGCCTGTGGGGGCCCCGAGGGCACCAAAGCGCTCGGCCTCGTGTTTCCGAGGGCGGTGCGACCAACTTGGGTCTGAGTTTGAAAACTCACAGACCGATGAATATTTCTATGTGACGTCCGGCGGGCTGCTAATTGGCCCCGCCGCGAGCTGCTACGTCCATTAACCCCGCACGATGAGCCGGGCCGAGGGTCACGATGACCCATAGGCCGGTAATCGTGGGTGTTAGAGAGAAGGCCATGCAGGTGGTTATGTGTGCATATTTATTGTCGGGCCGTGCGGCCCGTTATCATGCTTATTGCGTAGCTGAAGCCACTCGGCGCGCTGGAGCGAAATGATTAGAAGACGCTCGGCCCGAGTCTTGAAGACGTGCAGGGCTGGCTAAAGAGGAGACCATCACGGCTGAGGACCGTGGGACGAGCATCTCCACCCCAGAGACCGATGGCCTAGGAAGAACACCTAGAGGCCGAGGGTCTAGAGGGAACTGCCACGGCGAAGAACCGTGAGACGATCATCCATCATCCAGAGGCCGAGGGCCAAGAGGAAACCATCACGGCTGAGAGCCGTGATACGAGCATCTCCACACCAGGAGTCGGTGGCCTAGAGGAGACCACTACGGCCGAGGGTCGTGGGACCATCCTTACATCACGACCGACCTCACGGTACGGCGTGTTTATCACCTGAAGACCGGTATCATCCCCGCGCTGCGCGGATGAGAGCCGTTGCACGGATACACTTGATCGGCCTCTCATTGCCGACGTCATTATATCACGACCGGCCTCTTGGCACGGCGTGTTTATCTTATTTGAAGACCGGCCTCGTCCCCGCACTGCACGGATGAGGACCGTTGCTTGTTTTCTCATATCGGCCTCTCATTGCCGACACCGTTATATCACGACCGGCCTCCCGGCTCGGCGTTCTTTCCATATTTGAAGACCGGTTTCATCCCCGCTCCGCGCGGATGACGGCCGTTGCTTGTTTTCTCAGATCGGCCTCTCATTGTCGATGTTATTATATCACGACTGGCCTCCCGGCACGGCGTGTTTATCTTTTGAAGACCGGCCTTGTCCCTGCCCCTCGCGGACGAGGACCATTGCTTGATTCTTTCAGGTCGGCCTCTTACTGCCGACACTATCATGTTATGTTCGGCCTCCTGGCACGACATATTTATCTTTTGAAGACCGGTTTCATCCCCGCGCTGCGTGGATGAGAGCCGTTGCTTGGATATATCGGCTTGATCGGACACTATTGTCATCTCCTTATCAGGACCGACTGCTCAGCGACATTATGATCATTATATATCGGCTCCCGATGCCGACCTTCTTGAGTTAGCAATCGGGCTCACCCCTCCCCTCCAGGAGGGTGACCGTCGCCTTCGCATGACGACCAGCATTTCCATCGCCTCGTCATCTGCTTCATTTTGGTATCCCACCACCATTACGTGTGACATCACTTGTGGTCATTCTTGGAAACCGACGAACGTATTTTCCTCCCTCAAAAAAAAAAAAAAAAAAAAGATGGGGAGAAGGGGAGAGAGAAGCTCCTATGAGAGAGGGAGTCTTGACGAGGTATGCCTGATCTTCCTTCGCCGCGTATGACGAACGTCTCCCGACGCGGAGGCTAGTAGGAACGTGGGGGGGGCTAGACGTACCAAAGGGAACCTCGGCAAGATAAACCAGTTCCTCCCATGACCCGTGGTTCGACGAACACCTTCTGCCAGAGCAGAAGGCTAGTAGGGCCACGAGCATGGGACGACGAAGCAGGGAATCCCGACGTGGATAAACCGGTTCCTCCTTGCGATCGTTGGATGACCGAACGTCTTCTTCGAAGTAAGAAGATTAGTAGGACCACGACAGGGACGAACGAAGAATAGGGAATCCCGACGTGGATAAACCTGTTCCTCCTTGCGATCGTTGGATGACCGAACGTCTTCTTCGAAGTAAAGAAGATTAGTAGGACCACGACAGGGACGAACGAAGAATAGGGAATCCCGACGTGGATAAACCTGTTCCTCCTTGCGATCGTTGGATGACTGAACGTCTTCTTCGAAGTAAGAAGATTAGTAGGACCACGACAGGGACGAACGAAGAATAGAGAATCCCGACGTGGATAAACCTGTTCCTTCTCATAGTTGGGATGACGAACGTCTCCTGCGAAACCAGGAGACCAGTACTCACGAAACTTGGGAAGAACAAAGACCGAGTTCTTTACCGGAGTCTGTGCGTGCCGAGTGTACCTTGCTTAGCGGTCCGTACATAGGACCACGGATACGGTAGACGAACGAAGACCAGCTCCATGGATCAGACACGATGAACCAGTTCTTTACCGGAGTCTGTGCGTGCCGAGTGTACACTGCTTAGCGGTCCGTACATAGGACCACGGATACGGTAGACGAACGAAGACTAGCTCCTCAGGTCAGATAGGAGGGACATCACCCAGATTTATTTCAGGCTCACCATTCCTTCCCGGATGGAGTCCTGGCAGACGATCGGCTTCTCACAGCCAATCAGGAGAGAGACTTGACACATCACCAGCACGGCCGAGGGCCGTGAGACGATTATCACTCACCGACAGGCCGGGGGCCATGAGATGATCATCACCATTTTTATGCAGCACGATCGGCCTCTCAGCGCCATCGTGTCTCTTTCACGTTCGGATCGCGCATCTCTTCCAGGATGGCGACGAACGTCTTCTGCAGTGCGATCGGCCCCTCAGCGCCATCGTACCTGGCTTCACGGTTCGGCTCGACCATTCCCTCCAGGATGGCGACGACCGTCTCATGCAGCACGATTGGCCTCTCAGCGCCATCGTGTCTCTTTCACGTTCGGATCGCGCATCTCTTCCAGGATGGCGACGAACGTCTGCTGCAGTACGATCGGCCCCTCAGCGCCATCGTACCTGGCTTCACGGTTCGGCTCGACCATTCCCTCCAGGATGGCGACGACCGTCTTATGCAGCACGATCGGCCTCTCAGCGCCATCGTGTCTCTTTCACGTTCGGATCGCGCATCTCTTCCAGGATGGCGACGAACGTCTGCTGCAGTACGATCGGCCCCTCAGCGCCATCGTACCTGGCTTCACGGTTCGGCTCGACCATTCCCTCCAGGATGGCGACGACCGTCTCATGCAGCACGATTGGCCTCTCAGCGCCATCGTGTCTCTTTCACGTTCGGATCGCGCATCTCTTCCAGGATGGCGACGAACGTCTGCTGCAGTACGATCGGCCCCTCAGCGCCATCGTACCTGGCTTCACGGTTCGGCTCGACCATTCCCTCCAGGATGGCGACGACCGTCTTATGCAGCACGATCGGCCTCTCAGCGCCATCGTGTCTCTTTCACGTTCGGATTGCGCATCTCTTCCAGGATGGCGACGAACGTCTGCTGCAGTACGATCGGCCCCTCAGCGCCATCGTACCTGGCTTCACGGTTCGGCTCGACCATTCCCTCCAGGATGGCGACGACCGTCTTATGCAGCACGATCGGCCTCTCAGCGCCATCGTGTCTCTTTCACGTTCGGATCGCGCATCTCTTCCAGGATGGCGACGAACGTCTGCTGCAGTACGATCGGCCCCTCAGCGCCATCGTACCTGGCTTCACGGTTCGGCTCGACCATTCCCTCCAGGATGGCGACGACCGTCTTATGCAGCACGATCGGCCTCTCAGCGCCATCGTGTCTCTTTCACGTTCGGATCGCGCATCTCTTCCAGGATGGCGACGAACGTCTGCTGCAGTACGATCGGCCCCTCAGCGCCATCGTACCTGGCTTCACGGTTCGGCTCGCACATTCCCTCCAGGATGGCGACGAACGTCTTATGCAGTGCGATCGGCCCTCAGCGCCATCGTACCTGGCTTCACGGTTCGGCTCGCACATTCCCTCCGGGATGGCGACGACCGTCTTATGCAGCACGATCGGCCCCTCAGCGCCATCGTGTCTCTTTCACGTTCGGATCACGCATCCCCTCCCGGATGGCGACGAACGTCTCATATGCAGCACGATCGGCCCCTCAGCGCCATCGTGTCTCTTTCACGTTCGGATCACGCATCCCCTCCCGGATGGCGACGAACGTCTCATATGCAGCACGATCGGCCCCTCAGCGCCATCGTGTCTCTTTCACGTTCGGATCGCGTATCTCTTCCAGGATGGCGACGAACGTCTTATGCAGTGCGATCGGCCCCCTCAGCGCCATCGTACCTGGCTTCACGGTTCGGCTCGCACATTCCCTCCGGGATGGCGACGACCGTCTTATGCAGCACGATCGGCCCCTCAGCGCCATCGTGTCTCTTTCACGTTCGGATCACGCATCCCCTCCCGGATGGCGACGAACGTCTCATATGCAGCACGATCGGCCTCTCAGCGCCATCGTGTCTCTTTCACGTTCGGATCGCGTATCTCTTCCAGGATGGCGACGAACGTCTTATGCAGTGCGATCGGCCCCTCAGCGCCATCGTACCTGGCTTCACGGTTCGGCTCGCACATTCCCTCCGGGATGGCGACGACCGTCTTATGCAGCACGATCGGCCCCTCAGCGCCATCGTGTCTCTTTCACGTTCGGATCACGCATCCCCTCCAGGATGGCGACGAACGTCTCATATGCAGCACGATCAGCGCCCCAGCGCCATCGTGTATGGCTCGTGTTCGGCTCGCCCATCCCTTCCAGGATGGCGACGAACATCTCTTATACAGCTCGATTGGCCCCTCGGCGGCATCATGTCTAGTTCACCTCCGGCTCCGCCCATGCCGTCTCGGATGGGGGACCCGTCGTATGCAGCATGATTGGCCCCTCGGCGGCATCATGTCTAGTCCACCTTCGGCTCCGCCCATGCCATCTCGGATGGGGGACCCGTCTTACGCAGCACGTCTGCTTCTCGGCGCTGACAGGCCCGGGTTATCGATGAGAGCTACTGCTTCTATCACATCTTGCATTCCCTCTCTCATACATTACATACATACATTACATGCATACATACATTCATGCATCATACCTCATACATTCATACATACACACGTGCATCATGTTTTGACAGTACCGCGACGTCGGTTCATGGATGTATGGACCTTTAAGCTTCTCCGACTGGAAAGCTCGAGTCAGAGTCCTTTGCTCCCGCCTGATGCATTTAGGCGGAGTGTACCCGTGGAGGAGCACCCTTCGCCCGACCCTGTCAGGAAGGGGGGTGCCTCACTGGTAGATTACGTTCAGGAGTGCAGACACTCACTCATATATGATGATTATGTGAAGACACAGTTTCCAGTAAGACAGAGGAAGAGCGCGGGCAAGAGTATACTTTCTCGAGCAGATTCGCACGCTCACTACTCAAGAAACTGGGGGACTTGTGTTGGGATATATTATCCCGGCCTATTACTGTTCAGGAGCCCAAGACATTACCCAGTACGGAGCCCGAGCAGATAGGCCCATTTTGGCCCATTAGGCCCAATATTGGCCCGTTTGGCCCATTAGGGTGGAGAGCACCCTTTCCCCTTTGTCTATAAATAGGGAGTTTAGCCTCCAAATTATGGATCTTCTTCTTCTTCCTTCTTCCTCTAGAATAGCTTACAAGACTCCATTAATGGGAGCTCAAAATGTACTATGTAATGGTGAGGAGAGTCCTAATGAGAAAGAGAGGGCTTGGACATTAGCCTAAAAAGTCCCGTGGTTTTCTCCCTTTCCGGGTTTCCACGTAAAAATAGCTTGTTCATACACATTTATACATATATTTACTATATCGTGTTGGATTAAACTCAACAGCTGGGTCCGCTCGAAGTAAATTAAACAAAAACAGGAGGTGAACTGGTTAAGGGAACAACTGCCACCACCACCACCCGCCGTCCCACCGCCCCGTCATCTGTTTCTGATAACTACACACAACATTGACATCCTAAATTGAAAATTTTAAGCTTAGCGTCGTGTATGGTGATGTATCACGCTAGAATCCAAAATGTTTTCTTAGGAAAGTCTGGCTTTCAGAAAGGAAAAATTAATGTACAACTACAAGTTCTCGAATGAGGCACATCAATATATTTGAACTCTCAAATGGGGAGTGTAGCGTGGTGGCAAAAGATAATCAAAGGGAAAAAAGTATATCGAATATTTGTAACAAGAAAAAATATCAATGCAATTGGACAAAAGAGCGGTTCAAACTTCAGCAAGGAAATGCAGGGAGGGTCCGAATTTTATTATTTATATCATACTTGTTCAAAAATCACAAGGGTGTTTTGGTCTTAACCTCAGTATCCCTTTCCATTTTCTAATGCTTACCAAATAAGAAAATCAGTTTTCCTGGTGATCGCACTCCTACTTGGCGAGTGAAATTTAACTACTAGGAAACGAGTAGTTAGTTTTTCACTTTTTCATGAGAAGGGAACAGATTTGCCTAAATCCTTTTTATAGCACAAACATGCATTACTTTCACCAATACATTCTTCTATCTGCAGGACCACCTTACTAAGAAGAGCTCAAAAATGCAAACTGAAGGCTACTAGAAAAAGGGCTAATTGTACATAGAAATAATTCAAGAAAAGATTATGAAAGTTCCACACCAAGTAGGGGTAAAGAACACCAGCATGATTGAAGTTGTTTGTCTGCCTCACCAACACCTTTTATTCAACTAGAGTTGCTGCTCTTCCTGGCAGCATAAACACGGTATGTCGCAAGGCCCACAACTGCGACTGCGGCCCCGACTGCAATATCCAGATATTTAATTTTTCATAATAAATAAAACTAGAGTAATCAACTGAGATTATGTGAAATGAGGCACGCCAACAGTGCAATTATGGGACAACTAATTATCCATGTTCCATATTCATATATACACATACATTACAAATAAGGTGGGGGTGTTGTGTTGTGTGAAAGGCGCTTCCCGTGAAAAATGCCAAAGGTGCTATTCTGGTGCAACCATGCTGCACTCAAGTATTTTCAGTATTGCAATTTGTGGGATAGCATACGAGTATTTTCAGTATATGGAAGATGCCAGTATGGCACTATGGCATGTAAAGAGGGCGAGCACGCGAAGATATCCTCAGCGTAATCATGAAAAACGACCCTTTTTATTAACAAAAATGACATCAGTTTTTTATCAAACATGTATTTAAGATCCAGTGCACTAGACTCATTCCCACTATTTTAATTTTATTTGGACCAAAGCCTATCCAATAAATGCATATATGCACAAGCACATTCACACACACATGCGTGTAAACGTATGTACATGTATGTGTGTGTTGATGCATATGTATGTACATGTATGCACGTCTGTGTTGCACAGGCTGTTTGTGCTACTAGGTTAGGTTAATTACAAAAAAAGGATCATGGAAGGTAAGTACTTATTCAAGATTGAATATCATACCTGAAACAAACATAAGTGAGCGGTTGATAAGACGGTGATACTGTTTCCTGCTTCTGCCAGCCTCGGTTTCTGGAATGCTCAGATGCGGCCGCTCTGCTGCATTAACAATCCTTTGGAACAGATTACTAAAATCCCCAAGCTTCGAACTAATTGGTATAGGAGCTTCTATCCCCATATCCTGACTAACCTGTTAAAAGTACATCACAACTTCAGAAATAGCAACTACTTCATGATTCTACTACAAAATAATGCAGGGTTGAATCTTGTTACCATGACACATGAATAAGCTGATAACTCGCAGAAAATATTACTGATATCTGAATTTAAAGTTTTAAACACTTCTCCAGTGATCAAATCGAGTTAATCTAGAAATGGTTCATAGACTATAGACAATTTTCAAATTTGTCATTGCCTAATAAGCTCAACCAAACTCCATTACATTGTTGTAACTCGTAAGAAAATCAGCTTAGATTGTCGCCTAGGCGCTATTTGGCTGCTGTCTGCAAAATAATCTCCAAAGTCCGCAGCTAATAAAGCAGGTCTACAATGATAGAGCATACCCTTGTTGAGTCTTGTATTTCAGTCAAATACGGATCCAAATCATCTTTAGCTGCCACAATGAGAGAAGGGATTTCATAGCCTGTTGCCTCCCCATTACTAGCAACATCTACAAGTAGTTCAGATGCTTTCTTCCACGAGGGCTCATAAGAACTAACAATCACCAATAAATTGAATAAGAAAGCATCTAACACATGGCAATCAAGGGAAAAACTACTAATCTATTTTAATTGCTCGAAACAGAAATTTGGAAAGATGAATATGAGAGTAAATGTCAAAATATCCAGAGAAGAAAATAAAAGAGAAAACTAGAAGATAAGCAGTGTTATTAAACTAGTTTGACAATGGGACTCAGGTTAGTTTGGGCCCCCATCAAATAGTTGGGTTGGACAGTGCCTTACTATTTTCTGTAATTCCCTTTCATTAAGGGATATCAACAATTTTAACTTGCTTGAAATAGAATGTGTGTCAGTGATATCAATAGCATGCAATAGCGGCGTAGCGTTGCAGAGCGGGAGTAGACTCTATCAGATTGCCTGTAGCGGAGCGGTTGGCTATAGCACCCCTAGTGGGCAGTGGGCGCTGTAGCAGAAAGAGTAACAGCTGTAGCGGGCGCAATCGCGTCACTATATTTTACATGGCATCATATGTGCTAGACTAGTATTAAAGAGATTTGGAGATAACTTTGGCTTTTAGAAGTTTTTAAGGGGTAAAGTAGGTTTTTGGAGCAAAAAGTAAAAAACTCTACGAAACCCTAAAAGGATGTTAAAAATGACCCTACTAAAAATAGCTCAAAAAAGAAAACCAAGACCAAATATAATATACAACGTAAAAGTCAGGGGCGTCGCCTTGAGCCCCAATAGGTTAGTTCAAGACGATAGGTGAGCTAAAGGCCCTGTACAGCTCCGAGTTAGGGAAGATCAAGTCATCCCAACAACCTTGATTTAGAATAGTGAGATTGATGACTGCTAATTTATCAAGAATTATATGAGCTTAAGTTCTAATTTTAATGTTTAGAAGTAAGCCATGTTAATTATTCATTTATTTTGTTCAGGAACACTAATGGCTTTTATTGGTATTTCAATAATTATTAATGTCATGAGGTATAAGACTTTGAGTAATATATTTATCATTTTTTGGATTTGTTATCTACGTGGCGTGTAACTAGTTATGTGCATACATATACTCGTGTATTAAGCATATATATTAACTGAATATTAGTCGTTCTGATATGCGGTATCCCCTGCAACATTTTCAGGGTTGGCAGCTATCTGGGATTTTTTTTGACAACCCAGCTATCTGGGTTAACAACAGTGGTGTTTATGTTGATTGATATGTTTGTGTGTGTGTATGTGTGTACAGAACAGTCAATAATAATGCAAGCAAAACAAGCTCAAGACACCTATCATGGACAAATATTGCCACATCACAAGCTGCTAAAGCATCTTTTTCAGAGAGAAGCTTCTTGACTCCATCTTCGGGAATCTCGCGCAATACCAGAGTTTTCTTTCCACCCTGTGATTTGTAAGAGCACATAAGAAGAATTTAAGACAATTTATCGGACTTGTCTCTTTCAACTTAAGTCATATACTCATAAGTAATTATGAGTAAGAAGTCATATTCATCATGTTTCCCTCGCCCCATTTTCTATGTAATTACTTCATAAGTGTGAAAAGATCAAAAGAATAAAAGAAAGCAGTCTGATAACCCACATCCATAAATTTTGTTTCAGATATCACTATACCAACCCATTTTGCCTTTCAGGTTAACAAAGGGACAAAGTGCAGTTACCCCAGGTAGACGCACAACATTAACTGTGTATTTTTCATCAGCATTTGATTCATATTCCTCAGAAAAAGGCCTGCAGTAGAAGGGATAATCAAGTTTTTTGGGGAAAGTAACATAAAAAAATACAGTTTCCAATAAAAGAATTCACGCACGCGCACAAACCTTCCGACGAAAGAATTCAAAATTGCAGATTTTCCGGCTCCTTTCGGACCAAAAACAAAACACTGGTACACATTTCTATCTGACTGCTGCTTTTTCCGATCTAAGCGTCTTCTTCGAGTGACACGGATGGCAGATGAAGGGTCACCAGCATATCCAAGGTATATAATATTTTCCACAGCAGCCATTGGATCAATAAGTGTCATGAGGCTCCACTATATTGTGCATAACAACTTGTCAGAATTGTAAAGTTCAAAAGTTTCTCAGTAAATCAACAATTACTTGGCTACTCAAATTCTCATGTCAGTGAGCAAATAAAGTTCCCTCCATTGATAACTAACAAAAATCAGTGAGGCATTCTTAAATAATAAAATACCCATTAAATATAATCACAAACGAAAACAGACAAAAAAATATATATCATCGTGAAAACAAAAGTAATCACAAGCATAGACAACGCAGGAAAGAATCAGCTAGAAACTGAATTTAGTTTTATTTCTATCATGCATCAACTCTCTGCCACAGAATGAAAGAAAAATATAAGGGTTGCAACTTTGGAAATCAAGTTCACAGATCCACAATAAAGTCAATAATTCGTATATAAAACCAACTTGACTATGCTTCAAGTGCAATCTGTGATTTGACTATCTGAGTAATCAATTAACAATGGATTCCATATTTCCATGAGAGTTGCAACACCATTGCACGTATCATTACAACACCTCATTATTATGTATGACTCAATATGGTTAGATACTCATAATCATTATTATCAACCTGCACTTTGGGAAACGACGATGGCAAGTAATATCAATGCACTCATAATCATCATCTATTATACACACCAGTGAAAGAAACCCATCGAGTGAGAGTCCTCTCAAAGCATCCTTCTCAGCAGCATCCTTGTATGGAGCTTCACTCCAGGGACTGATACACAGATGATAAAGTGGAAATCAGTATGAGTTTGATAAAATAAAAGGAGCGCAAAACTTTTGAAGAGTCCCATCACTGTGCTACAGCTGAATTTGATACTTTACCTTCAAGTGAATGTGTGGGGGGGTGTACTGGGTGGGTGTACATGTGCAAACACGGACAGGTAAGTGTACGAGAAAGGTAGCGTGTGGGAAATAAATATTCAATGGTCACTGCCCAAACAATTTTCATTGCCTACATAACTACACGAAAAAAAATACCTTGCATGCCATTTATAAGAGAACAAAAGAAATGGAAGTTAACATTACTTCTCAGGTGCCACCGAAAACAGATTATCAAGATCATTAGATCGAAGAGCTCCATCCTGATGGAAAATCAAAATCAAACCAAAACTAAGAAATGTAGATTGTAAACATGTTTAGTCTCATATTTAAAATATATATATACAATCGAAAACTAAGGTGGAGAGAAACCATACTTCATCAAGGTCAAATGAGACAAAAACATTTTTGAGGAATTCTACGGCCTCATCTGTCAGCTCCACGCTCTAGCAAATAATAATAATAGCATTTAGAACAGATACACCAAAAAAGTATGCTTAGTTGCCATGCAAACTATTCAGCTGTATATAACACAATAGTGATATCACCAAAACATTTTGGGATTCAAATATGCAAGCAATACTAATATATAGGCTATAGCATGGCTCTGGGCAGGTAACTACATTTATAAATAAACAAATTGGAGTTCATTTTGTTCTAAGGAGGCTGTTGAATAGCATTCAAGCAAAAACACTGCAAACAAATGTGAATTATAGCAGCTAAAAGGACATCCCATGTGAAAGTTGAACTCTTGAATCTAGATCTGATTGTATCGCTGCAGAAGGAATTTAAGTCAATGGAACAACAAAAGTAGTATGCAAGGCCGGAAACCTAATAAATAGGATAGTAAATTACAATGTATAGATTCAGAATGAAGAAAAACATATGCAAAAAATCGAGCCCAATCAAAACACAACAAACAACGTGCCTGGTCTGGGTGCTTCTTGACTGGAGAAGGAAGTTGATCCTCGTTAAGTTTGATATCATTATTGTATCCAAATTTCCGTAGAACAGTCCAAGTTGTCTCCAAACGCCCCTTTTCAATAAACAGGGCATGGAGAAAGAGAAACCCTGTCAACGTAAGACCACGACTGTTGACTCCTTCAGGCAGTTTCTCTTGAACTACTTTCTTAACCCCCATTATTTCTGATGGTTGGAGTGGAGCATTGAAGCATTTGACCTAAGAAATTTGGTTTTCACATTAACATCAACCAACAAAAGTAAAATACTTGAGCTCCAAGTCTTAAACTTTATTATTTATTATTAAGCACGCAAGCCATACACAGGAAAAGGGTAAAATATAGAACCTGAAAATTATTCAACTCGGCATCACTAAGGGCACCATCCCTATCATGGTCGCAGAGAATGAAAATACGTTTTAAAGCTCTAACACATCTTGGTCTTAAAGTTTGTGCTTCCTGATCAAAAAGTGGAGCAGTTGGGTGCAGAACAGTCTTTTGCCCATAGTAGAAAACCTCAGCAACCTTCAAGTAGATCATTGATTTCAGGTTATGGGGATGAGGATATTAGAACTACTCTAGGCTAGAGTCTCTAGCAATACATTTGCAACCTTTCTATCAAAGAGATGATGACAACATAAATTGTAGAGCTCTAAGAATCACATCATACAATCCAAAGTATCTTGAAAAGTGAAAACTACTCCCACCATCCCAAAGCATCTTTAGTATTAGAACGGACAATTTTTGGGGGAGGTAGCATAATGCATAAAAATGGGAAGTTGGCTGTTATTACACAGTATCCTGACTAAGTTTGAAATAAATGGATTCACAAATTACCTGAATTAGTTTGTATGCGGAGCACTCAATACATGTTTCAATCTCCCTGAATTGTTGCATTATGGGCAACATGACCTGCTCCAAACTAATAGCTTGCTGGTCAGCTCTCTTGTCAAGCATGCAACCCACAACAATTACAGGGGCCTTGACCTGCCACAAAACACAAGTACATAACTAAGGCCATTATGAGGATGAAAGTATGTAACGGAGAACTATTGAATTATGTCCAGAAGCACAGAAGAAGGTCTGTATGAGGGCAGAAGGGGACGGGGCAGGTGATTGCCATGTGAATCCCCAAAATGCCCATGTGTCTAGCTTTGGAATTTCTAAGACGACAGCCTCACCTGCTTCACAATTACATAAAAAACTGTGGAGTATAGACTATAGAATTGGTATTTTCTAAAATTATTATTCTAAAATTTATTCTCATCCTTTATCCTCTAAATGCAAAGTCTTAAGTCTAAACCAAGAAAAAATGGACTTTTCAGTCCAAAACTAAATCAAAAAGCTATTTACAAAAAAAAACATAGAGCTTATCAATGTGATCTTCACACATGCAGACACAAAACCTTGGATAGTTGGATCTAACGACCCCTTAGTGACATGACTGGAAAGTCTACACAAACCCTGTTTTCAGGAATAGTGAATGATAAACACAAATTTTCCTTAAAAGGGGCCTTTTTTGAGATGCAGCTTTTTTAGCTATACAGCAGTTGCTTACAAGATCAGAACGAAGTACATGTGAGGGTCTAATATTTATCCCAAAGGGAACAAACCTCTAATCTACGAAGTTCAGGTAGCCAGTATGTGCTCAACCGATCAAGAGTAGCAGGCCTATCACATGCATATGTTAGTACGACTGCATCAGCTCTCTTCATCTCTTCAAAAACTGTACTCCTGTTGTCTGGACTGTACAACATAAGATACCACAAACAATCAACTTAGGAAATTGATTAGACATAGTAATTCAAATGGTAAGCTGACAACTGTCAATTTAAAACCTTTTTACCCCCCATAGAATGCAGAAAACATTTTCTCATTCATGGGCTAAGATTAGGGGTAAGAATAGCAACTCAAAAGGATAACGACTCATTTGGAAAATCTTTAGTACCATCCGTTACGTAAAAAAATGTGGAGCAATAGGAAACATAATGTGAGTTTGTCTCCTATTAGGGCCATCCAAAAGGACAGAAGATTACTTATTATCATATTATTATAGGAGTGTTTTATTATTGCTAAAATTATAAATTTTATTATATTGTTAAGATTGCAGTTGTTTCCTATTAGTAGCGGCATTCTGTTTCAGTTAATATTAATAGCAGTAATCCTGGAACGTATTTAGAATTACACTTTAAGCACAGAGAGACTGTTTCCGGGTGACGCATAGTGAAAATCGCATCGAAAATTGCATGGACTGGCTGTTGCTTCGTACAAAGATGCGCAGTCAGTTTAGTGAGTCATTTTGCTTTATGTCATCATATTCCCAAGCCAAGAAATGGTGAGTCTTTGGCTCCATTGCAAATGATAGAAATATTTATATAGTATATACATTCTATATGTTCACATATTTTAATTTCATAATATACCATTTAAAACACTCCTAAATTAATAGAATATTACTACGTAATATTTTAATAAAATTCAGAAATGGCCTATCATCAAATTTTAAAATTTGTTCAAATTAAAGACCCTCTCCTTGTTTGGTGGTATTCAACTATTGATCGCACCTTAAAATTGAATGATTAAATTTTGTAGCTTGAATAAAGGTAAAAGTCAGAATCTTTGTAGGAAAAACAAATAGTGTGATCAAATGGCATGCCACAGCTTCATTTCCTAGTGTAAGTGCTTTCCTTGCAACACACCAAGTATGTTTTAAAACTTGATATTTATGTTAAACTGTCAAATGCTTCTAACTAATATTCCCTGTATATTCCTCATTAGCATTCCTTCGTTTTACCATAATCCGCAAAAGTACTAAATGTCTTGTGGTATATTGCAGCCAATGCAAAGTGTATATGATCCTTGCAGGCATTGCATAACATGATAGAGGTTTACGTCTTATCTTTAAATTCTTTATTATGTATCTATCACAGTTAAAAAAATAATCTGATTTGGGTAGGCAAGTATGCATGGCTATCATTGTGTGCATTGTGTAAGATGATGAATCAGTTCCATTTAATTTCTTTAATTATCAATAATAGTTCCGGAAACAATCTCTATGTGCTTTAGTACAGGGGTAAGGCTACGTACATCCTACCCTCCCCCTTAACCCACCTTAGGCGGGAGCCTTTGCGGCACTAGAGTAATAATGATGATGAATTATCAATAATAGTTCTATATACTAGGAAAGTGACATCAAATTGTAATCTAAACACTGAACATTCCTTTAGAACTATATACTAGCTTCTACATGCTTTTCACTTTTTCAGTTTTTTAGTATAAAAGATTTCAAGGGCAGAAGTCTGTGCATGGTATATGTCAAGTAAGCTCAAAATTTCAATCAATCATCAATCATCATTTACCCCAGTGCCGCAAAGGCTCCCACCTACGGTGAGGTAAGGGGGGGTCGGATGTACGCAGTCTTACCCCTGTACTAAAGCACAAAGAGACTGTTTCCGGATGACCCATAATGAAAATCGCGCCCAAAATTGCATGGAGAGTCATTTTGCTTTATTCCATCATATTCTCAAGCCAAAAAATAATGAATCTTTGCTTTATCCCATCATATTCTCAAGCTCAAAATTTAAACACTTAAAATCCTACAGCTAAGCCTGCAATGATCTCATTAAGATATGCATCCCTTCAGCCCTTCTTCATTCTTCTGTATCCTGTTATAGTTGAGTGGCCACTCCATCATACATGCAATTGGAACTACCTTAGAATATCATCTACGCTCATAAAGGTTTTCTGTTTGGGTCCTTGCCCTTCAACAACGGATCAACTGCCTACTTAGACTATCATTCAAATAGCAAAATCACACGGGATCTTTCCTATCCTCAGATGAAATAAAATATATGGCATGACTATCTGAGTAAGAATCTTGGTGCAAGTTTGCAAGAATGTGCACTGCAACAAAAGTTTATTCTTGCATACACACATACAAAAACATACAAAATGCACTCAGGAAAGTCAAATTTAATTGTATTTAAGGAAATAGATATGAGGACCTAGACGAGGTATCGATGATGGTAACAGGAACTCTATCAGGGAATATGTCATCTGGGAGCCTTGTAGGAGGCAGTACAGGGGGTATGTTCTGGGGAAATGATTCAGTGGCAGCTGTCAGAATTAAACTGGACTTCCCCGTTCTTGGATCACCGGCGACCACGATACGGACGCCGGAAATATTCCCCTTCGCATCAGACGAACCACCTCCTGCCATCCACTCTAGCTTTCTAACTCCTCACCTCACCAAAACGAATCAAAATCCTTTTCCTTATATCTCAGCGTATGTAAGCACTAAACCCTGATGTGTATGGAGATTATTTCATATTATATTCTATGCATGCGTGTGCAGATTATGAGCTTTTGAGAAGACGAGAGGTATTATAAAATGGCTGCGTAAAAGGGGGTGGAAGCTCGGAGAAGAGTAGCAATCGAGAGGGTTTTGGGAAATTTGGAGGAGGGGAAAACAGAGAGAATTGTGACCTTAGATTCTGATCTCACGGCTCAAAATTAAAGAAAAATGCCTAGTGTAACCTAATAAGGACCGATTGAATTTCAAAAAGAGAAAACTGTCAAATAGGTATTCAAATTTTCATATAAAAATCAATTAAGTCCTTCTATAGGAGACTTTGTCCGGTCGTCGCGATTTGGGGCGGTTCCCGGTGGAATTTTTTGATAAATTTTTTTGAGCATCTTATTCATCAAGCCTAGTTTACTCATACCAAATTTCAGCTACAAATTTAATCGGTAGCGCATTCAAATTAATTCGAGAACGCAAAAATGCGCAGTTATCTTCAAGAATTAATTTGAATGTGTTCCCGATTGCATTTTTAGCTGAAATTTGGAATGAGTAAACTAGACTTGGTGAATAAGATGTTCAAAAAATTTCATCAAAAATTCCACCGGGAACTGTCCCAAATCGCGGCGGCCGGACAGAACCTTCTATAGAAGGACTTAATTGACCTTTTTATGAAAGTTCGAGGCCCTATTAGACAGTTTTCCCTTTCAAAAATAGACATTTTCATTGTCAATTTATGTTTCCTATTTTTAAGAAAACTTTTGAATTTCATTGTGAAAAACTTTTTGAGAAAATCATTTTAAAAAAATCATTTAGAAAATATGGTATCAGTTTTGCAAAAGCCTTTGATAAGATTAAAGGCATTTAATCTTATATTGCGAAAATACATTGTGAATATAGACATTTTTGAAATAAAATAATTTAATTATCATTGATAAGATTAAAAAGGAACATAACAATCAAAAGTTTAAACATTATCATCATTGTGTTTAATGTTACACTAGTGTGTGACAAAGAACAAAAAAAACTTTATAAATACGCTCATGTTCGTTAATCCTACAACCATGTAGATTAGTACCGTAGTGTGAGTGTGTGGTTGCTCATGTTACTCGAAATGAGTCTGGTTTGACTAGCCACTGAAAAGGAACTACTCCCTCCCTCCCAAAATGAAATTCCTAATTTGACCTACACACATGTTTATGTAAGATAGAGTTCTGTTTTGAATTTACAAGTATACTTTTGTTTTATGTCAAATCAACCAAAAAGTAGATGAAAAATAAGGATAGTTGAGACTTTTTGCTTCAAAGTGATTTCCTTCTATTTATGAAAAATTCTTTTTGGGACATCCATAAAAGAAAAGTAGAAACTTCTTTTCGGAACGGGGGTAGTATTAAACTTCCCTACTTTGCCAGCCATCGGTAAGTAGCTAAGTGCAGAATTTGTTTCAATTCATCGCACACAGAAAATGGAGCAATTCATGAAATCTCATCTTCTTGGTTCGGTGGTGGTTAAGGAGAGGGCGATTGGTCTCAATATTGATGCACAAGATATCCAAGTTGCTAATTAATGAAAAAGTTAGTACAAACCTCTTACTAGCCCACAATGACACTCGACTGAAGATGTCGGGAATATACACATGACAGGAGATACTCCACCACAAAAAATAACACCTCTAAATAACGTTAGGAAATAAACATGTAGATAAAACTAAAAATGTTGATTAAACGATTTTTTTTTCCATGATTGTGGATTTGTGGTAAAAAAGGATTGAAAGAAGAGAAGAAAGAAAAAAAAAAGCGGCTAGGATTTCCCCATCGCAGCTTCTCTCTTCTTCTTTTTAAAAGGAAATCATCAAGCTATATTCATCCAAAGAGTCATTAGTCAATTGGCTAAGAATACAAGGAGCCGAATCATAAAACTTGCTACCATCCATCATGGAAAGGGCAGGGCTACCTAAACCATGAGTTACACGATTTGTGGATTGTACATTGTGTAACCATCATACAAGCTTCGGACCGAAGCAAATGTTTAATATCTCATACTATGAGATCCAGATAAGAGTCTCCAACTAACCGAGCATTCGTTTCAACCTTCCCTTGAGTCTAGCCATGTCTCTTAGAGCATCCGTAGTGGGACAATGGATTGCTCAAGGATGAATGGCCACATCAGATAAATGAACTTTTGGGTTAATTTGCTAGCTCCAATGGAAATGTCTATGTAGCCTGCGCTGCTGAGTTGGAACGGAAAAAAAATGCACGCCCTCCACTACTCTTCCTACTTTCAGCAAGGCTATCAAACAGTTTGACTCAGCCAAAATTCATCGAAGTTCTTGGTGGCAACAGAAAATATTTCCGCCAAATCTCAAAACTATACGCTCTAATAAAAGGCTCATCAAACTCCTTTTCCGTACTTTTTTCTCCGCACTTGCTCTACGTCTCTACTCTTGACATCTTCTCTTCGCACCTGCGTGAAAGTCTGAAGGCTTCCAGGTATTTTTAACCTTCTCCACTTGATTGAGTTCTGAGCGATGATGAATTGCAATCTATATTATCAATAAATTAAACTTCTGTAAATTTCATGTAATCTTCCTTCTCTGTGTAGTTTTCTTGTAATTTTAGAGTTATATTTTGAAAAAAAAAAATCACCATATTTTACTACATTTTATGTGATGTTAGATTGTTAAATAACTATTCGAAACTGATGATCAGTTATAGGCATATCAGTTTGTTTTTGTGGAGTTCATAAAACTTCATCTATTTGGATAGAGATTGATGGCAGATAGGTATAATCTGAATCGCCGCCCCATGCGCTAGAGCTAGAGCGCTAAACTCATACCAAATTTGAGGTGGGCTAGTGTTCCTGCCATCTAGGTTTCTCCCTTTTCAACTTTCTAGTCGATGTTTAGCAGGGATACAATATGTGAACTTGTATTAGACTGGACAAGTTAAAAAATATGAAAGAATTTTCAGCATGACTAAAAAAGAAGGTTATACCACATAATTTGATTTAAGTAGAATGTTTTGGCACGAGTGCAAGACATCTTTAAACTATTAGCATGCAGAGTTTCAAATAGACAGTCTTTGTCTTGAATTGGAATATAAAAAATTGAATGTGGGATTATGCATACACATGTAATAATTTCATATTTTGGCCCTGCAGTTTTCAACACCACACCTTCGGGTATATCCTTATCTAGCTGATTAGGCTTATCTTTAAAAGGGGTCTATAAAACGAGTTGTACTCTATATCTATGTTCTTTAAATTAATTCAAACTTCTATTTTTTCCTTGTTAAGCTTTTAAGTTTTTTTGATGTTATATTCCTTCAGTAATATACCTTAAAATATTAACCAAATATATGCCTGAAATAAATGGACATGCCTGCTAACCTAAACTTTTTCTATACAAAAGTTCAAAAGGTCCATTTAGAGAAAACAACATAGTTGTGATCATAAAGATGAAAAGAGAACCTTTTCCTGGTAGGATACTACATAATTTTAATGGATACAATGCTTAGGCTTCCATTGGTAGGGTCTAGATGGGATCTTAGTGGAGGTTGGTGCCCGAACATGTCTAGTACCCTAGAAGAGATTTTTTCAGAAATATGAACTAGTTAGCAGAGATTGGTTTTAAAATATACTAGCTCTGAATTAGGATTACGGAGCGTATAAGGATGAATATCATTGAAATGGAATGATGATGTAGTTGTTTCATTTAATCTACTCTATTATATGCTATCAAATGATGTTAAGTCCAACATGTATGATGTATCTCTTTAGAATGCATGGTATTGTTTTCTGTTCTTATGATACTTCATGATTAATCATATGTTTGGTTTTCTTAAAATCTTACATGATGTTCTAAAATAGATATTTTTTCATTGCATAGAACATGAATACATGTTGTTGGAGGTTCTCTCTAATGTACAATGTTTCTGGATAAATTACGTATCAATTACGGTGTCACTTTTCGATCAGTTTTAAACTTCAAATACCTAGATTTATTATCCTATCGAAATATTAATTTTTACACATATGGAGTCAACATCGCCACCATTTTCTTACAACGAACATCTTCAGAAAGACACTGAAGTAACTGATCTCACTTCTCAGCATGGCAGCGCTTCACATATTAACCCGCATTAATCAGTGTTCCCATACCGACGTTTAAATTACGTATCAATTACGGTGTCACTTTTCGATCAGTTTTAAACTTCAAATACCTAGGTTTCTTGTCCTATTGAAATATTAATTTTTACACAGATGGAGTCAACATCGCAACCATTTTCTTACAACGGACATCTTTAGAAAGACACTGAAGTAACTGATCTCACTTCTCAGCATGGTAGCGCTTCACATATCAACCCGCATTAATCAGTGTTCCCATCTAACCAATTTGGTCCATCAAAGATGACTTTTAATCCACATTATATGATGCATCCTTCATTTCCTCGTGCTCACTCACCCTTTGGTATGGACATCCTTTTCCAGATCTTTCAAACTCTCTATTGAAGAGAGTCATGTTGCTAAAATGAGTAGAGCATCAGACTAAAGTAACAAGGTCATACAAAATACAAGTATCTCTCAGACAGTAGGAGGCAACAAAAATTGGAGCAAAGATGAAGATGTAGAACTGACAAAGGCATGGCTATATATTTCTGTTGATGTCGGTAACAATAAAAAATTGCTAATATGTGGAATCGAATCTTCCAAGTTTGGAGACAGAATATGGAACTTTTGATGAGTCTCGCACAACAAATGGCTTACAATCTCGTAGGAGTAAGACTGTACGTACCGTGAAAAAATTTCATGCTTTATATGAACGACTACAAAGGAATCCAAAGAGTGGAGCAAGCCAAGAAGATATGGTAATTTCTATTTGTGTTGTTATTTTTTTTCTCATTTCATTTTAAATATTACAATCTACCTTCTTTAGACTATGATACAAGTGTGTGTTAGTGTGTGTTAATATGTGTATCTATGCCCAAGAACAAACTTTTTATTTGTAGAGGTGAGAGGCAATGCGCATGTACGAAGATATTAATGGTCAATGTTTCAAATATGAACATTGTTGGGAGATCATGAAAACAAATTCAAAAATGGTGCTTAAAGGAAGTTACTAGGATCAAAGATTTCTCCAAGCAAAATGATACCAATGCAAGTGGTGATACCCGAGTCCCAACTCCACCAGTGAGTCCAGGTAATGAAA